ACTTTCCGGATCCAGGGAGCTCGGGGACTGAAGTTCAATTATCCCAAACAACCTTTCATAATAATTCGCTGTTCGTGATTGACGAAGAAAATTATATTCTCAATTTGGAAACCATCTGAAGGAAGAAGCTATGTATATGACTAGAGTAGCACCATCAGTATCAGAAAGATATGCCTCTAGGGACAACTATCCGGTGCTATTTACCTAGAAACTTGCGAGGAAAGACAACGAGGTGGAGTGGAACGAGGAAAGTAGGATATATGTGGTGCGCATTTCAGAAGATGGGGGATACCGTAGTATATGAGGAAGATGATCCTTCTTTTTGAGCTGGTACGACTTTGTGACATGGTACTTTAGCAATAGGCGTACCAGCCACATGATTGGTTTCGGCTAGTAAACCTTCTATATGTTTTACCGATTTCGATGCATAAATTTCCTATTATTTTTGGTCTATACATGTATATATTATTAGGACGATAGCCGAAATAAAATATATGTAGAGTGATCTGAGCAGCGACGAACGTGCTTCCTACCCAGGAAAGTTCGTGGACAGGGCACTCTATTCAGGTACAAAGGTCTATCGAGCGTCATTACTACAAAGCACGCAGCGCAGTAGTATATGATTACAGTATCTGGTAGGACAGTGTCTCTACCATTTAACCAGCGAGGTGGATAATGTGGTCAATATATACCGGTACAGACTGTTAGGTACGTTTACACTCACAAAGGTACCCCACAACGTCCCGTTTAGGAATGCCCTATCTACGAATATTCGCGGAAGAGAGTTCGTCGCGCTAGATAATAGAGTACTACATGTAAGTACATGTAGTTATAAAAATTATACTGCCTTCTTCCGCTGATCGCTGAGGTTGTGGTTTTAATGCTTTATGAAGTTGATGGCTACTAAAACGGCAATGAATGTAGTATACGTTTCTGTGAAAATCTAAGCAACCAATATACCTTCTCTATAAGGTGTGTCGTCAATCCGTACTAAACAGCCTGAGAATCTTTAAGCAGTACGGGAAAAGCCACCAATCCCACATACTTGCTCAATCTGTGATATATTCTGTAGCTTGGTGAGGGTGTATAGATTCTGGGTTCGTTGGGCGCCTACTTCTCCCAAGGAAATGTAGGAAGAGATATGTAGTCTCGCCGACACGTACATGTATATATGAGTTTATCTCCGAGAGAATATCACACTCGGGATGCCGAACGAATCCCGAGACGTGGCCCCTGCACGTCAAATACGGCAATCCCCATTACAACCCTGCCCAGATCCCCCGTTGAGCCGCAACTTAAAGCACGATGACGTATTCAGTGGTCGCCCAAGTCACACAAGTGCAATACGTAAGGCACACAACTCCGAGTAACGTAACAAAGGCCACGATAGCCGTTAAAATTTGTCAAGTTAGTATTCCACGGAGATGTGACACACAAAAAAGCCGGTACCGATGCGTTCACAACCTCACACAGCCCGTTTGACTGGCGTTGACTTTGATCGGTGAACTTCCTAACCTCGAGGCAAATAGAAAATCACATGCTCTCACAGCTACAGCAACAAAAATCACGGTAAAGGCACGAATGAAGTGTAAACCCACACATGTGTCCCTCCTTTCATTTTAAAGTCCTGTCCTTCCAACCAAACACCATATCCACTTCAATCACAAAACATCACAATACAAAAGAAAAATACAGTAAACGATTGGTTCGCAGGCAAGAGAGACAAAGAATCGATCCCATAAGGCCGCCCACTACAAAAGAAAAGGTCTAACCATGTATGTACGTCTCCCCTGATGAGTGGGATAATCCCAATCATTGGGGCGGTAAGAACAGCACATCAAGTACAAGCAAATAATCATACACTTCAAACGAAGGCCGGAGAGACTACTCGTTGTGTTCTTTCCTCTCGCCGCCGGCGGGGCCTGCTACTGGTTTACCGCCCCAACTAAACCACCCACCAGTCCTTGGAGTGCCAATGAACGTAAGGCCCTCTTTCTCGGCATCGCTCATTGTTACATGGTCGAAGTCACCAGCCATATTTCCAGAGCTTGGTGACCTCGAAACATTTGCTTTGTTGGCATCAGACGCATTGTCAAGGACTGCTGCAACACTAGTGTGGCTTGCATCCCCAGAAACTCGGTTTGTTTCCGCCTCTTGTTCCAGCGCAGCCATGAGTGTCTTCAATTTCTCCTTCTGCATCTCAATGAAACGTGCCTTTTCTTCCTTTCCTTCGATAGATGCAGGAATCAGAGTCGCAGTGTTTGCGGGGTTCGGAGTTCCAGCTGGCCCTCCCTCTGGTGTCTGCTGCTGAAGTGCCGAAGAAAGGAATTGGTAGAACTCTGTAGCCCTTTGAGGGGCGCCCGAGGCGATTGGTGCAACATTCCACTTTGAGAACAAATTTGTGACAAATGAAGCCGCGTCTTGAGAGAGTGGCTGCATCTTTGCTTCTGAGCCTTCTGGCAGAGGTCCAAATAACTGTTCCCTGGCCATGTGGATAAGTTTTCGGATGTAGTCAATTCCCGCAGCCTTGGCCTGGTCGTGAGTTCGGGTGATAAGGTCTTCAATCTCCTTCTCGTGAGCCTCGAGCGTAGGGTGTACATGTTCTACGTAAAGTCTCGTGGCGCCCTGGAACTGTGGAAGGACTAGCCACATCATAAAACCAGCACGGATCTCTTGGTAGAATGGAAGCCTAGAACGCGGGTTTGGTTAGGCTCCCAGGAGGCAAATATAGTGTATATAGAAACTAACCAGCACAGGATCCAGCCTGTCCATGACTCAACCACGGTGATGCATCCAATAACAACCCAGTACATCAGCCATGGCGTAAGCTGTGATGGATCGTTTGCTTTGAGGGCCTTGTACGACGCGAATACGGGGAAGAGGAAGGTTGCGATAGAGCTATTTACAGAACTGTCAGTGATTGCACAGTAGAAGTAGGGACTCTACATGGTCGCGTGATGTCAGTGTTTTAGTATAGAGGGATGATACTCACGAAAGCAGTTTTGATAGAAGGCCAAACATGATTTTAGACTAGGTATGTGAACAATGAAATTTTTTTTGTAAATGGTTACTTTTGGGCTGTTGGAATAGTGTTTGTAGCTACTTCCGTCAAGAAAGGTAGACAAGGACTGATTCTTTGACGAGGTAGAAGATGTGGAGGAAGAGGAAGAATCAATGGGAGGGGGGGGGGCGGAAAGGATATATATGAAGGAAGAGGGGAAGTTGACCTTCTAGTAAAAGAGGGGACACAAAAAAAAAAAAGAGCTAGGTGAGTTGTTGTATCAGAGTTGTCGTTGTGGATACAATGTGCAGCATCAGCAGCATAGTAATGTAATAATGTGGTACAGACGCGGAGGATGCGGAGGGGTACCCAGCAGCAGCAGCCGCAGCAGTAGCAGCAGCAGAAAAAAGGTCTGGGAAACCCCTCCACACCTCCAAGAGCTCTTGTGCATGACCTCCTACTCGGAATATGGTCCAGTCCAATGTCAACCCCGTGATCGCATCAGCCGGGGTCAAGAGCAGTTACCGGAAGGAGATTAGTCGAATCTGTATGTTTTACCGCCTAGGCCGAGTTCTGCGGAGGCGGCCAGTGTAGGGTCACGAAAGCGGGATAGGAACTTCTGCTCTGTCAGATGCTGTCACTCACCTACTGGAGCAGCCCTAACCACCACCACCACCCGGCCCGTTACCACCCGTACTCTACAACCTGGACGCCCTGAGACAGAGCAAACTCCTACTCACTCGACAGCTGGGGTGTGATATCCAATTCAACCCCCGAGAGGAATCGTGAAAGAATCCGGTAGAATACATATGTACATGTATCTACCCTTACACCGAATATCCCGAGGGCCGCCGAGACCCGTTAACTTCATCTTGAGTCTCTCCAACTGCCCCAAAAAGCACAGTCTTTCCCCGAGGCTCAACTGCTTCGCATATGTATGTAGAAGTGCTGCGACGGTTGATGGTTTCAGCGATATGAACTGTACCTGCAGACCAGTGTGTACAGTACAAGTATTTCTCCCCAAAAAACCGAACAATAAAATCCTTAAACCCAACCACAGCTCATCCTGGCCAGTTGCCAGCAAATATCACGCCGCATCATGAGCTTTGCCTCTCATACCATCCCGCAGACAAACACAGGAGTTAGAACCGATTATTTGTATGCTCATGCTAGAGAAATGCGACAGGATGCTCCTGCTTGGGTTGTTGCGTGTTGCGCTGGCATGAGGTTTCTCAACTCCTTCTAGCTAAATAAACCTCCAATCCCCCAGGCGCATCTACTTATCCATTCCACGTAAACTTGCCTACATACCCACTTTACCCCGCCATTAAAAAACGCCTCCTCGGTACTATTGTGTCTTTGATTTGACCTACATATAAACGAAACTCCTACCTAAGGACACTTCGTAGTAGAGTACCTACAGAACACGAGAAACTCTTCATCTGCGAGGTATATGCAACAATCCTAACTGATCCATCATATAAAAAATCATAAAATGTGTATCCTGCTTGTCACCACCGCGCATCCAGAATACTCTTTGATACTTCTCTCTAACAGAGATGTATGTATTTTTCCCTTTTTTTTCTCCCACCCTCCCATCCAAGATTAGAAAGATCAGCATGCGTCCAATATCACCTATCCAAGATTCGAAGTTAATCGCGCATGTCGCAGCTACTAATTTCAATCCCCTCTCTCTGATAGGAATTCCTCCACCGTCCTACCGCGCGTGCAGCTTTTTGGGAGGAACCCAACTCACACATCTTGTCGGGTCGAGATTTGGCCCGTCCTGAACGAGGTCTGTCTACGTTTCTGCATCTCCTTCGTCCCCCGCCTGTTCACCCTTCTTTTCAACCGGCATGCCCCTCCAATCATTCATCAGCTAACCCCACCCCCCACAGGTACATGGCTTGGCATAACCCGCACTGGCCGTCTCGCAGTGCTTACAAACTACCGCGAACCCACCTCTCTTGCAGCACTGGCTGAGAAGTCCCGGGGTGCTATGGTTACTTCCTTCCTTACTTCTACCGCAACTGATTCCTCCACTTCCGAATGGCTGCACTCCCTGCATGCCACGGGGGACCTACACGGCGTCGGTGGATTCTCTCTTCTTTGCGGGATCCTCCATCCTAAGGATATTACACTCGGAAGTCTCCAACCACTTGCTGTAATTTCTAACCGTACGCCGGCCGGAGACGACGGGGTTGAAAACGGTGCAACTTGGATAGCCGGCGAGAAAGGAGAAACATGGGGGCTTAGTAATTCGTTATTCGGGGAACCGTGGCCTAAGGTGAAGAGAGGGGAAGGTATCTTAGCTGAGGTTGTAGATACCGCAGTCAAAGAAGGAAAAAACGAAGACGAGTTGTTGGAGAGTCTATTTGGCGTGCTGAGTTTTGATACTTTGCCGAAACTGAGCAGGGATAATGCGTCTTACCACACCCAGATGGAGTCTTTAAAGCATAGTATTTATATTCCGGCTTTTTCTGCATCCCATGAGAACGTGGATGCACATCCGGCGGATATGACTCCAATCACAGACGGAGACCCAGCAAAGGCTAATGTTCAAACTCAATGGTGGCGCGACCGAAAATATGGAACTCAGACTCAGACAATCATACTTGTGGGTCGGGACGGGAGGGTGAAGTACGTAGAGAGGACATTGTTTGACGATCAAGTCAGACCGCTAAAGAAAGAGGAGAGAGATGTTGTAACTGAGTTTATGATTGAGGGTTGGAATGAGTAGTAGGTTTGATAACCTGTTTTTCCGTACAAGGCCTCTTTTGCCGGAAGGTTGTGTGCTGCATAATTTCTGGACGCTGTCGCTATTGCATTGTGCACATTTTTTTCTTCTTAGTTTTACGATACATATTACTCTACTCTACATAAAAATTTCTCAGATCTGGGGTACTCAGCCGTTTCAGCCATAAACAGGCAGGTGTGGCCACAATGAGGATTTAGAACGTATGATGGCACATGCTGCAGCGAGCAATGAGGATGAGATGACCGCTGAGCTCCGGATAAATCATTTGGAATCATTTTATTTATAAAGCTCTCTGATATCAATTCTCAACACTCAGACAAGAGTATTGAAAATTTCATTAGTAGCTTCAAATAATTTATGGTTAGTCTGTAAGTGAAGCTAACTGACCTGGTGCAAGTTTAGCTGAATGTATGTACTACTAGTACTACATGTAGTAGTTGTGCCTACATGTACTCTAATAATAAGGCTGGATTTGGGTTAGCAACCGAACCCGGGGGTTCACAACGTGTATTCATCAGGTATGCCGGGATTCAATGTGAACTAAACAGTCCAGGGGACGCCCATTGCGGGGAGTACGCACGTATGCGTACTGATGCTGTTGACGGATAGTTGATGTACCTACACCTGCGCAGACCCTTCGAACTATGGCAAGTGGCTACATGTACTTCCGCATACTTTACTCTCGTGGACGTGAAATATTCTTCCGGAGATCGAAGCGAGCACGAACATATTCTTTTCAGGGAAACAATGGCGTAAAACATCATGGATCAAGCGAACAAATGAACATATACATACATGTATTTATACTGCGCCTTCTCTGACTCTACCACTCATTAGAAATATGGCTTTCAGTGGATTCATTCATAAAGGGAAGCATTGCCCAGAGCCTCTCCTAGAGTAGATCTAGCCAAGTATATATATCTTCATACTCAACGGCTGGAGGAGATCTGTCTGCTCTTACAACGCTAGAAAGTCGGGTACATAAGACTTATCGAATCACCAGCCGGTCGCGAGGTACGCACAGAATCAATAGGTTTAGGCCATTCGTCCCATCCGGAGATAACAAACATAGCTGGAGCAGCAGATCCTCATGATTCCACCAGACTACCGAAGGCGGGTATAAAGGCGTAGTGCTTCTAAGACGGACAGTTGTTTGATTGCCTTTCCTTGCTCACGAAGTTGAAAGCGACGGCGAAGATCGTCCCATAATCACAGGGATAAGTTTCAAGATACGCACCCAGAAATATTTCGAAAGATTTGAGTTCTTCAGACTGATCCTGCCGTCGATATTTACATACAACCACATCGCTCAGGTGCATTGTAACTCAGCTCGGCATTACCCCACCACAAACCCGGAATCAGTTGCAACCTCACAAAACTCCAGTACCACATCACATGACTATCATAAGAACACACATCGCAAGTTAACTACTGTATCTTATTATTCTGTGAGTGGGGTTTTTGTTACTGGCTGAGCCAGTAAAGTCTTATCCCATATTTCTACCACGCGCTGTACAGGATCGAGAACCGAGAAGCCTTCCTGCAGGCGCTCCAAGGTTTCGCGAATTCGATTGGCGGCGCTTGCCAGCAATATCAGAACAGGGACGCCAAAGACGTTACACCAAGTTAACTCGACTCAGTTCAGTCAGGAATGAGTTAAGAGAAGAAAATATCGTTGTGCTGAGCTATTAAGTTCCGGACGGTGCAGGCGACCTATCTTGCTAGAATATTGGCGCGTTCGCATATTTGTCCGTGTATAAGAACGCTCGTTCTCTCGCAGTAAATAACTAGATGTTCCCATGTAGCAATTAATGTTGTTGTTCTTCTCATATATCTACCCAAATACTCGTACTCGCAATCGGCATTCATATATCTATCTTCAATCTCTAACTCACCACATCGACATGTCGGAGGTCTTGGGTACTCTGGCGAGTATCAAAGCGCTTATGGAGGTTGTTGCAGAGTGTTCTAAATTTCTCAGTGGGACAATATTGAGCAGCCCAAAAGAAGCAAAACTCGGAAATGAATTACGCACACTCGAGAAAGTGCTTGACGAGCTGCTGATGAATGTCGACCGGGGCATAGGCACCTACCTATCATCAAAAACACTGGATATTGTTAGGAATTACACTGAAGCCTGCATTAAAGATATAAAGAAATTTCAGAAGAAGATGAGCATGAGGTCAGAGGAAAAGGGGTTTAAAGCATTCTTGAGCTGCCTACAAAGACAGCAAAAGGAGAAAAAGACTCAAGAGTTTATCAGCACAATAGAGAGGCGTAAGAGCACTCTCATACTTTTCTTGGTGGTGAACCAAATGGGGTAAGTTAATTTTCACCTCCTTGTGTCAAGCATATGTACTAAGTCAATTTTCCTGAACAGCACTGCTCACGCGGTTCCATCGAATCAATCTCAACCTGACCCGGCGAACCATACACATGTTCGGTCAACACCGACAGAATTGAACGATGTAGTTGGAGATATATGTTCCACTCCGGAAACATATGAATGCACTCCCAGAGCGGGTAAAAGCGCTCACTTCAAGTAGCATTTCACGCATTAGCTGATGTTTTGGTTTAGTCATAGATACACGCGTAAATACATGTTCCAATTACAAAAGTGGCGAATCCAGGGTGAAAGATCAAGTGAAGATCAGCACTCTAGATCTTACTGATACACACCACTGTCCTGATAAAAAGCCTCTTGAATACTCGGTGCTTTTAAAGGCTTTGAGTAATTTAATACCAGCAGTAATTTGTTAGTAACCCCCCATCTTAAGCACTGAGAATCACATAGGCTTACACTGGGTGTTTCACGGAAGATGGCTCGAAACTCCAGGAGAAATATCAAGTCTACCGATCTATATTTCTACGATCAGGTGACAAATTGATCTTTCTGTGTTTATGGTGTAGCCTTTGATATTCCAAGAGGATATACATTTCGCAGTTTAACAGACTGGTGTACTTTCCTTCTAAAATTCTCTTACCCCGAGTTTGATACTCGAATATCTTAATATTCACCTTTCTTCCTTAGTTTCTTTACATTGTTCGATCTCTTTGTTTCTATCGAGCTCCTATTTTTCTTTGTTTCTCTCCTTTTCCCTTTCTTTACGCACACGTTGCTCCCTTTATTCTCCTTCAAAACATTTCACTCAGCATTTCCAGCTACTTAGACCATCCCCAAAAACATTGTCATATCCTCCAGACTGCACACAATTAATGAATTATCAATAAATCATCCTCCAAACCGTATTAATTAGTAGTGATCGCGATGTTATGCAAAGCCTTGACCTAACCACAAGGAGCACAAATATCGACTTTTACAGTGTATTTCTGATATATATGCATAGCCATTCTATATATCACATTCTTGATCTACAGTAGACCTCAACCAGACTGGAGAAACAGTGTACAAACATGTAAACACCACAGAGCGGCTGTTTGTCTTTCACTTGCATACCTGTGGTCTATGGTCTCCTTGATATGATCCTCTCGAGAAATGAAGCCCATACTCAACGGTATCAGTATTTCCCCCATGTAATGGCAGACTGGGGATGAGGGTGAAGAAGGTACCCAATGATCAGGGACAGCTTTTGGATTTCCAATGCAATAATTATAAATGGACATCCTCAAATTCACTGTATATCGAGGTGTGCTATGCTAGCTCCATATATGCACCAAGAGCTTAAACTACATGTACATGTATTGCTTACATTGCATAAACAGTCACCCGCCCCTTTTTGTTGTCTCTCCCTGTCTGACCCATGGATCGTATCTTCCCCACGTGGCCACTACCACATAAACCACATGCGACTCGAGCCACCACAGACAACTCTCCCAGACAGCTCTCCCAGCCTTACTGACCAAGGCTGCATCTACACACACAGAACAGTAGGTTTATCCCAAATCAACACAGAACCAGTCCCAAAGAACGCAGTACATGTCACGAAATTCATGCAGCCAACATGTTGTTGGACTGACACACGCGCAACTCTTCACAATACCATGTATGTGTGCATCACGCAATATCACTCGGTTCTTCTAAAAGCCACTGTTTCCGGGTTCTGCCAGCTTTGTTCTCATGCATCTGAATAACTATCGCTGTTAACATGTTACTATTAGATTCTTCCCTGTGGTTGTGGTTGGCGCGAGCGAGGTTGGTGAGGTTGGCGTCGGCGGCTCGTTTTTTCCCAAAAGAATACTCGGCGTACCTACCTGGTGGCCATGTCACGATCATATGCTATCACTCGCTGGCGTCCCCCACCACCCCACTCCCGCTCAGGAGGCGATGAGTGTTAGACCGCACGGTTCTGCGCGCCAACATAGAGAGGTGGGGAAAGAGGCCTTGCTGCGCGTCCCCTGCTTCTTCCCTTCCGTATGGCTGTGGATATATGAGGCGGTGGTAGTTGAGTTGGGGGGTGGAGTGGACGTGGGGTGTTTGGTTTACAGGCATGAGTTGACACATATATTGTTGTAGGAGAACTGGAGGACTGCGATCTGAAGTGTATGGGAAATGCAAGGTCTGCAGTATCTAGCGTTTGTTATACCGACCCGGTCGGACCATCCACCTACAGCTCTCGACCCCCTCCAACCGCCGGAGAAGATGCGCCAAGCCGCATGATTTCTCTCTAAGAACTCCATTCACCCCCGGAAGCGAAAAAACCACACCACACTTACCCCGAGATATATGATCGGCAACTATAATTTGCCCGTTGACGGGTAAAGGAAATTTGGGAGGCTTAGGCCGGTCGGGAGCATATTAACGAGACCTCCTTGCCCTTGCTCCGGCCGTGCAAGGGCCCGGGCTATAACTATATGTTATATTATATTGATATGTCCCGTCAACCCGTTTAGCTAGATCGAAGCGATGTTTTGATATATGTACCTTATAGGATCAGCTATATGGATGCTCCCGGGTGGAAACTCCGGAGACGGGAATGCTATATATGGCTTTTATAGTAGGTACTGTTCTCATATACCCATATAGTTATGTCCTATATGCCCCTGGCAGTGGGTATCAAAAGGAAAGACGAGACAAAGCTATGACCACCCATGGAGATGGCGCAAATAAGATCTACCCGCTAGCTTCGGAATTAGAGACACACAAAAAAAACGAATATAATTTAGACCCCCAACCGGCCAAAGGGTCGAGCCACATCTCTTGATCCGAGGGTTTTGCATCTCTCGGATCTGATAAGATTATACACCCATCAAAATCTGCCGATTCCTCACCGAAGCTATATTATCTATATATTACAGGACCTAGGATTCTCGGGAGATTGACATACATCATCTCTCTTCCGAGCTAGTGCGATATACGTCCCCCTTCAATCCCTTCGATCAATATCCTTGGCTCTCTCTCTCTTCGGCATAAACAAAGCAGATCTAGTTCTTTATTCGTCATGTTACGTATATATACAGATTCAATTAATTCATATCATCATCATAAGCAATTGTTCCCATACCCCCATACCCCCATATCCCCATACCCCACATCCCAATCATTAACCACATCCTCATCCGCATCCCGCATATCTGCAGACTCAGGAAATGAGCGCAGAAAATCGTTTCTCAAGCCGGCGCCGTCCACAGCAACCCACAGCAACCCACAGCAGCCATATCGGCCGATTCCAAAACAGCCATATTTGCCCAGCAGCAGCAGTAACATCCACTCCACTTCGTCGATCACCCGTCCACCGCAGAGCAATCAATGCTCCACACCTATACCCGCACGATCACAGACCGTCTCCCGAGTCTAAACCGGTCCCTTAATCTCGACGACGCCTTCTGTCCACCCGCGCTCCTGCAATTGAAAATCCAGAATTAGTAACCTGTCTTCTCAAACATGAAACGGGCGGGGGTTGCTCACGTTGCTTCGGTCTTTGATCTTCGGATTGTGCTGCTCGACGGTAGAGACGACGGCAAAGACGTCGACGATGCTGAAGCCGGGAGGGGCGGCAGCGGGCGGTTTGGAGGCGGGCCGGGGGAGGGGGGGAGACGCCGCCAGTGTTTGGTGGTGCTGGGGGATTCTGGACGGGTTGTTAGTAATGAATGAGTAGTATGCAAGGGACTAGGGGCCGTACCGGAATTCATGTCGACGTGGAGATCAAACCGTCGTGGTCGGGAGGACCGCTCGGTTACGGGGAAGATTAATGTGATGTCCACTGGTGGTTTGTTAGTACTGCTGGCGAATTCGAATGAGAAAAATGGAAGAAGAAAAAGTACTGACTCTCGAGCTCTTCAGACACTTTTTCAAACTCGATCTCAATCTCGGTGAGCCAGTTGTCGGCACAGTCGGGTTTTCGGAGCGCCGTTCGGTAGTTTATTTCTTTGCTGCTCTCCATGGTTGATGAGATGAACGCGTGGGGTGTGTGTGGATTGTTGAAGAAAAATATGATATTCGTCGTTATGTGGTTGTGTTTTTATGGTGTAGACACTTCTTATATCAGGCGAATATCAATGGAGAAAAAAAAAAAAAGTCGAACAAACACACACACACATTTATATATACTCCGTACTCTCATATATATATATATATATATCCTATCCACCACGAACCAAACGCTGCGCATGCAGTACACATCCCATCCCATCCCATCCATACGTACATTTGGTACTGTACAGCCTCCTCCTTCAGACACCCCGAAAATGCTAATTTATGGTCCCCCTCCGTCCAGCTCCACCCTACACTCCCTCAAGGTCTGGGTACAGGTATCATGGCAACCCTTTCTCATATCATCAGTAAGAGCCTAGGCATCTAGGTAGTGGAAACCGAAACATACAGCCATCATCCCTCCACCCTTCCTTTCCAGAAAGTCTCGAAAGCTAGGGTGGAGGGACCACACCTTGCCGGATGGGGAATGATCGGAGGAAAATAAGCACCGGCGGGTTTAGTACTGTGCCCACCACGGAGATATTAGGTACCCCCGAAGAGATAGGTAGAGAGCAGAGTGCTCGTAGTACAATACGAGTACTCTAGTAGACCAGGCCCAGGATGAGCAGCTACATTGCTAGCTAGCAGCCTTGCATGAAATTTGGGGCGCTAGCCAGTTTTGCCCTCCGCCGTGCCACACGTTCTAAACCCGATGTGTCGGCCATCATCACTGGAAACCTGGGAATAGGGGCCGGGCGACGATTGGTGGGAGGTTAGTCTCGTTCTCGGGCGGGAGGTCTAGCTGCTTTGTATGCTGAGGTTTGTTTCGGGTCGTTTCACTACTGAGACGGCGATAATTGGGGGGGGGGGGGGGGGGGGTTGGTGGGTATTTCAAATATTAGTGCACTTGCAATTGTCTCTGCGGTTTTGGGAAAGATGAAGTTAGCGTTATAATTACATTGTATATGGAAGGTTTGTATTGTGTTGTATTGTATTACACAGAATGAGAGTGAGGAAGGGTGAAGTGGGCTCGAGTAACACAGCCCACCCACGTCCCGGTACTGGAACCGATATTCCGTCATTTTGTTTTCGATGTCCTTAGTCTTAGTCTTAGACAGTGTAAACAAACGGGCGGGCGCATGACGGAATGCGATATCGCCAGTGCGTCTTAAAAACGCAACTCAACCGGTGTAACGGAACGCACGTCGTATCGTGTTCAGCCCGGATATCTCTTACACAAAAAAAAACACACATACACGCGTCCATAGGTAGGTAGGGCATATACACAAATACTCTCACACTTGCACTTGCACCTTGCACTCCCACTTCCGCACTCTCACTCGCCCGCTCGCTAGAATCAGTAGAGTAGCTGAGTCCGACCCGAAACCCCCCCCCCCACAAAACACAAACAACCGACTCAGCGCTCTGCCTGCGTGCGGAGCTAGGTAGGGGAGCGCTGACTGAACTTATCTCAGAGATTCCATCATCCATCCTCCAATTTGGAATCTCTGTACATACAGTCCCCTCCTCCCCCCCCCGGGTATTCGCAGGCATATGGAGAGCACTCTATGGAAACACGTTGTAGATACCAAGGATTAGCACTCTAGAGTACTGCTGCAGATCACTCACTCACTTGCTGCGACCCGAAATAGCATCAGCACATAGCAGCCCGTTATATATCCGTTGCCAAGCAACGCTCAATATATGCCAGACTCAGACCAGACCAGCCCAGCCCTACCAGCTAGCTTTATCTCTGGCGACCCTCTCCTCTGTCTAGCTCTCTGGACCGCCACCGTGGGGTAAGGCGTTTCTGACAGTGACAGTGTCTGTCTATTCCACGTTTTCCCTCTGCCTACCCCGTCATTTTGTGTTTTGTGTTTTTGTAATTGTGGTGGGGCTTGGCGGGTGCCTGGTTCCTGGCGCTTGTGTGCATATGCGGACATAACCCTGGCCCTAATGGTGAGAGAGAGGGTGGGCGAGTGATGCGTGGTGATGGTAATGGAGGTGATAATTGAAACTCAGCGGGTGTAGAGCGCTGTGTAGAAACCCACCACCACTGCTACTACTGGTTTAATTGATTGCGGGACAATATCGAACACTCGAAGCAGCGTTATTACAGACAGTAGTCGGAGATCAAGAAGGGGTTTAGTCTCGCCCATCACGCGCGGTATTAACACTTTCCGGCGCCAGCTAGCTAGGTATATAATTAATTCACAATTATCAACCCGCAATAAAGGCTTTTTTTCCTGCTTCAAACATCAACATATAATATACGCGTGGGGTCAAAAAATGATGCACATACTGCATCAGGGCACTCCACTCCCCGCCTGTGTCGATCATGATACGATACTCACTTCCAACCACCACCGGCATCTTGCATGAGGTCATTAACATCAAATTAAAACCACATTAAACAAACACTTCTAAAGCCGAGTGATTATTATAAGAAGAAAGATGCTCTAATTAATGTACATGCAAATGGTATCGTTCGCCTTAAAACTACTCCGAGTCGCTATCAACGATCACCGGACCCCTTCTAGCCCTGCTAGCACTGGGCCGCGGTGCTTCCTCTTCATCGTCATCGTCTTCATCACCAGCATCAGCCATGTCCACATCACCACGTCCCTTCGGCGAAGCCGTCCCATCATCCGAATCGCCGTTCTCCTCCTCCTCCTCCGACCCTGTCTCATCCCCGGGCACCACAGGCGTCGCATCTCTTGAGATAACACCCTGGTCCTCGTCATCCTCATCATCGGGCTCTTCGGTGGCATCACTCTCCTCAACAACCCTCTTCTTCTTCCTCTTCTCCGGGCTCCCGCCCGACCCCTTCTTCCTCTTCCTTGTCCCCGTCGGCGCTACAAGCCTCGAGAACAAGGCCGCCGACGCCCCACCACCCGTCTCCATCCCCGCCGGCCCGCCCTCCCGCTGCGCCTTCTCACGCATCAAAAACGCCATCTCCTGCTCGGGATCCAGCTCGTCGTCCGAATCGTGCACGTACAGCGTGCTCTTGATGGCCACCCGCTTCTCCTTCTCCCTCTGCAGCCGCGCCGCAAGCCGCTCTTCCGCGGCCGCGAGCGCGTCAAGGTCCATTATTGACTCGTCCTCAACGGGGTCGCGGCGTCTGCGTCGCGGCTTGGAGGGCTTCTTTCGTGGCTCTAGTGGGTTCATCTCCGTGGGGCCGCCGGGGACGAATTCGTTTTCCTCTTCGTTTTCGTTTTCGTCGGGCTCGGAGTCGGGGGCGGGGAGGCGAGGGCGGGCTTTGCGCTTGATGAGGTCCTCGGCGGCGATTCCGTCGTCGAGGACAATGGGGTCGTTGGTGTACTTCTTGAGGAGGTCGAAGGACTCCTTGAGGTTTTCGGAGGTGAGGGAGGAGGGTATGATCCATGGTGTTTCTGGGCTCTCGTCGTCAACGCCCAGTCGTTCGAGCTCAAGGATGGTCATGAGAAGACGGAGTTTTGCATCTTTGAATAGTGCGGTCTTGCGCTCTTCGGTATCGGGGTTGATAGCTGGAAATGATTAGCTTTTAGAGTATGTAGATTTGGTGACTTGACGTTACTTACTGATGTATGGCGGCTTGGGTGCTTCGCTCTCAATCACCTCTGCGCCAGCATCTGCGGCTGCCTCTGCTTCAAGAATCCTGCGGGCCGCGTCTTCTGCCTCCCAGGACTTGCGCTCGCTGATGGCCTTGTTGAGGATATCCTTAAGCCAGTCCACCGCATCGCCCTTATTATCGTTAACCAGCGCGCCAACGGCGACACCGATCTGCTCATTCCTCGGCAGCCCTGGAATATGCAACTCCGCCGCCGGCCTACCGCACGTCAGTGTCAAGGCCCAGCAATTAGTAGAATCCCGGGGGATACAAACCTAGGTACCCTGACCCTAATCTCCTTATCATAGCCATGCGTCAAGTAATGCATCGTGCTATTCACCTTTGTGAACAGCAACTCCACATACATCTCCGGTCTGCTCTCCAGCTTCTTGATCAGCTTCCTCAAGTAGTACTTTACAAACTGGTCCATCTCCTTCCTCGCCGGATGTCCCTGCGGCAGCCCATCAGGATCCTGCATGATGCGATAAAACTGCTCCACGATATCAATCCTAAACAGCAGCACCTCCTCCTGCCGCTTCACAAAGATCCTGTGGAAGAACGTGATGGCCCGCTTCACCTGCCCGTACGACAGCTCCTTGTAGTTGTCCAGGAAGGCCAGGAACGTGCTGATGCAGCTCTGCTGCAGCAGCTTGCCCTCGAACTTTGCAAAGTCGAATGCGCGCTCCCGCATCGTGTTGCGCGACTGCATGGCGAGCTCCTCATCGTCCTCCTCGTTGTCGTCGGCGGGCATGTCGATTCCGTCCTGTTGCCGCTTCTTTTTCGCCTTCTGCTGCCGCTTGGAGCGGACGAAGAGGTGCTCGTGCTGCTTCGAGTAGCGCTCAAGCATCTTGAGATGCACGTGCACCATCTCTGTGCAGTCGTCCAGCCAGCTGAACGGCTGCTTCGTGTAGGAGCGCAGGATGCCAATGATAAGATCGAGCGTGGTCTCCTCGTAGAACAGCCGGTTCTGGATGTTCTCCGCAATCTCTTGGTCTTCCTCTAGCGGTGATGCTGTCATGTCTTGCACGGTGAGCAGGATCTGCGTGAAGCATCGCATCCCCGACTGAAGCTCGAGCCACGATTTGGACTCATACCACTCTGTCATCCGCCGGTTCAGCGTGATCAGCATCTCCTGGTTCAGCACCGAGGCTACAAGAGAGAACGAATCATCCACCGCCGCCGCATCCACCGCCGCCGCATCCGCGGTAGGCTGCTGCTGCTGTAGCTTCGCGGCCGCCTTTCGGCGTGCCCGCTCCGCTTTGAGGAACCAAGCGACCAAGTAGAAGAACTGGCGCTGGTTAGTATTCAGAAGTCTTTCCGCATCGCGGTCAATAGCGCGGCGGACATGGCTAAACAACGGGTTGAAACCAGCGTCGAGAAAGTCCTCTACAAAGGTTCTCATCTGCGGCTTTGAGGCGCCCTCGAGAGTTACGACCAGGTCAAACTCTGTCTTGCGGCCGACGCCCTTGACGTCGCTGCCCTTGGGCTTCTTCCACTTCTTGCTGGAATCCATTTTCTTCTGCGCTGTGTCTTTCCCCAGTAGTGCACCCTGCCCAGAGACGAATGCGCGCCGCCCGTCATCTTTCTCCATCCAAACCGTTGTGCCAAAGCGGTTATGCCTTGTGCTCCTACTCCTCGCCGCGGCCCTCTTCATCTCATCCTCTCTCTTGAGCAAGTCCGTCAGACTCCCCGCTTTCTTGTTTCGTTCCTCCTCTTCCGTTCTGAACAGCTGCTCGATATCCACGCTCTTGAGCAGGTGATACACAGCCTCCATAACGACCACATCCTGCGTGACAAACTCGCCGCCCATGTTACTCGCAATCGCGAGCAGCAGGTGCATGACATTCTGGTCGTTGAACGCCTCAATAGTAGCGCAGCGATTGATATCCTCGCCGGTGTCTGACTCGTTGGGGTTGGGGTGCTCGATCATGGCAATGTTTCGGAAAAAGTAGAGGACTAGCCGGATAATGCCTTCATCTCGCTCGGTGCGTTCTGTGGCGGGGATGGCGACGGACGGAAGGGCGACACGGGCAACTGAAGAGAGGATCTTGCGCGACGGGTGCCGCAGGATTGTGGATTTATAGGAGGCTTGCGCGTGGATGAGGACGGGCTGGTGACGGTGGTGATTCTGCGTCATCTCCGAGAGGGGCTTGTCGAGTGGCCATGTGAGCGGGACGAGGATCTCGACTGCGAATCGTTAGTATGTTTTATACAAACCAATGCTCCAGTACGGAAGTGCTAAAGGGAGCTATGGGGAGGCTTACTGCAGGCGAGTGCTAATCTGTGTTTGGTCTTATTCTCGGTGTCTTCTTCTTTCCAGTCGGCGAGAATCTCGACTAGATCCCCATTCACCAAGTTCGCCTCCGCCATACATCGCGCGACCTGTATATCCCCATCAGCACCTTTACTCATCCCCTCCTAACCTCTTCTCTCACTTCCGGGGGTGCCTCATACATCATAGCGATTAAGCTTCTCGTCGTAGAGCCGTAGCCATCTCCGTAGATCCTTCAGACAGGCCAATGCGTCGTCTCCCAAATCGTATCCTGTAGGCGTGATTCCTCCGAGCTATATATCTCAGCATTTCCCGGTCAGTTCTTGAGAATTGCCGGGGGAGTAATGATGGGGTGGGTTGGTTTTACCGCCGAAACGAGAGAAAGGATGTGCGCTCTCTGTACGATAGAAACAACAATATATTAGCTAGCTGCCCCAGTACCATCAGAATACAGGAAGACGCACGATAAGAGGATCCACAGTCTCTGGGGCTGCGGCAAAGGCCTGAACATCGCTCTCGCTGCCGGACTCCATTGTCGCAAGCCGTTGATCGCACCGCCGGAGAGTTTGGCGGGTGAGTTAATATTAAGAATTAGAGGGGTATAAAGTTGTAAAGTCTTGATACGAGAGGCCTTTCGGGGGAGGTGTTAATCGACGATTCTCCGTTCCGGTGTCTATGGCGGTTGAGGTTTTTGAGGTTTTCCGTTGTGGTAACGCGTTCAAGCGCGTCGCGTAAATTGACCTTGGCAATGTGGCCTGTGCATGTGGAGGAGGCTATAGCAGCAGGGTCTCACTTGACGACATGGACGCAACCGATCTATTCTCTATTCTTCTATCTAATCAATCAATCCTCGCTACCCCTATTCCATCTACCCCATCCAACAACAGCGGGCCCACCAGAACAACCGACACCCTACACTTCCCAAGGCCTATTGCTGCTGCTCGCTGCTGCAAGTACTATTAGTAAGTCTTCAGTTCTTGATGAAATTTTCAATAGAATCTACTAACATTCAATACTGGGTTGTATGCCGAGCTGTGAACTTTCTCCTAAGGCAGCGGGCTGTGAACTTTCATCCAGCAACCATGAGACAGCGGAAGCTCTTGATCTCGACGTTTCGCTTCCGGAATCTCTCGGCATTGGACTATGGACAGGGCTGCTGGGTAGAGAACTATCCCATGGCATTAATGGAGAACTTGATGGAGCGGGTATTGCTGTTCTCGGCGTTCCGCTTCCTGATTCTCTCGGCGTTCCGCTCTCTGATTCTCCCGGCAGAGAATTAGAACTAATTGATGCAGATATACTTACGGGAGGTATAGGAGCTGGAGGATTGAGGGATTGGAGCGGGTTCCATGGAGCAGTTGGTATCAGAACCTCCTGCCGCTCGCTGTTGGGAAGAGAAAGAATGGTAGCTACTAGGTTCTCAATCCCTTCGATGAAATCTGATGAGCGTTGAGAATCAATTTCATCCAAATTATAGAAAGCTGATCGTATCTTCTCATTCAACTCAGTGAGTTTTAGTACCCGAAGTGTTCTGTTATCGTCTGGTCGCACTATTTCTCTGTCCAATACCCGTGTTCCTCCCACTTCATAGATTTCCATACCACCGTCTCCAAATAAATTGTGATATCGCGTCCACATATCAGAGGTTAGGACTTGTGCAGCTCGGTCCATGTGAAAAATATGTTGGCAAGGAAGGTGATAGCGTCTGCTAAAAAGGCAATGACAGATATAGAGTCTATTCTCGCCAATATCACGTACAGGTATAGGCATGTCCTGCTCGACCCGGATATTCACCTTGCTTTCCTCTGTTGCGACCAGCTTTTGGACCGGGTACGGAAAGAGTGATAGCATTGGATATATGCGCGAGAGTGTGACATGTCGCGATTTGGCTTCAAGACTCGCGGAGAGTGCTTTATTATCAACATCGTGTGCACAGTCATGTACAGTTCTAACGCAACCAAAGATTCCATGGGTAGCTGTTTCTCCAGTTCTCAATCCCGATCCTAATTTCAAGCGCGCATGCCATGCTTCGCATGCGTTGGAAGATGTTGCTTGAAGTAAAATAGGACTATGTTGGCGTGCATACATAGCCCATTCTTGACGTGTGTTTAACCATTCCCTCTCAATATATCTTCTGTCGGCATCGTTTGCAAATGGTAATGAATTTATTGCCTCTTGACAGAGTGCGACACACTTCTCTTCAGTGATTACCCGCATCGCATGCCTCATGTGATTGTAGGCATCTTTTGTTTCCAAGGAGCGGAACCTGCGAGAGAGTGTCCTTTCAGAATGAACCGTACATAACAAATGTGTTTTGACATGTCCTTCAGCACTAAATGCTTTCTTGACTGCCGCCTTCTCGATTGCACTATTATCTGTCAGAGGGTAGTGCATTTTCCAGGTGGAATTAGTCCAGCGATAGATGTACTGCAATGCAGTAGAAAGAATATCTGAATTCTCTACTTCCACTAAACAATGTGCACCGGGAATCCAAATTGCCGACTCGTTACGGCACATAAATGTAAATAGATTATACCCGTGTACATTGAATTTGTGTGTTGAGTCAAAGATAGTTAAAAAACCACGTTTGGCGAGGACAGTAAGTCTTTCTGGGTGTGCAAATACTAAACCGTGAGTTGTGGTATCGTTTCTTCCGGGTGCTGTAATTGTGTTGCAAAAATATCCCTTTTGCAATAGAAATACTGTAGCTTGCTCCCAATCTTCTGAGAGAGATGTGCCAGGAGCAAATTTGCGTACATCGGAAATCTCAGTTTTAAAGCTGTTACCGATGTTGGCGCAGTCTTTTCTAATCTTGTTGTCAATAACTAATCATAACAAACAAAGTGTAACGGGGGTCCTTTCTAAGAGAAATAGATTTGTATAGAATAGAGACGGCCGTGCAAGATAGACAATCAGGTTGCAGATTATTCAAAGATACTATCGCTAGAACTCAATAATCTTTAAGGGCTCTGCTACCGATAAGAACTTGGTTTTTTCTTTCTGATGAAGACTGGAGAGAATAGGACTGAAGGGCGAGAATGAACCTGAGTACTTATACTCCGAAGGCCTCTGTTCTCTGCTCCTAACTCCTTTTACTAAGTTCCGGTGGGCCTTCCCTCAGTACCGGAAACAATACCACCGCTACCCCGCTTTTCTCTAAGCGTCAGCAGGTGTTTCCGATACCCAAGGCAACCACCCTTAGTCAAAGCCTTTGTAACACCTGCAGTCTTGGTTGCCACACAACCGAGGACCTGCATGAATGAGCTACCGCTCAGGTGTAAGCTTAATCATTGCTGTAGAGCTTTCGCTTATTGTAGACTTCCCTAGCATAGTCCCTGCCCCTTCGGCGGACTTACAAGGCTCCGAGGATACAGTGGATCACCGGACAATCAGAGCTTCACTCTGGCCGGTCTTCTAGACACTGGCGAGGCATAGACTCGTCAGTCATTGCTCCCATGAATAGATCCACTTCCTAGCGCCCGGAATGTAGTTACTCTGGCAGCTGGTAGCTAACCACACTGCCGGTACTTGCATATCACCGTGCCACTGGCTTCTAACAATAACTCTCAGCATGTAACCGGGCCCTGTGCGTACTCATACACCAGACAGTTGAATTGGCTCCGTTACACCACTCCCCTCTTCCAGGATCTTGGTCTCCGAGATCTATAACCATTCTATTACCATCCATTCTATATGACAAGAAACTCCGTGATATGCAAGGAACAAAAACCGAAAGGAAAAACTACACCCCAACAATCCGCTTGTCCATGGGTTTCTTAGGATACCTCATATGGAAATCCCGAAGGGCTTTTTCAGCACTCTTCTTGAGATGCTCCCAAGGTTCCCATGTAGCATCCTCGTTCTCATAACCTTCCCACAGCACTAGGTATTCCACTCGTCTCCTTTTCTTATTGACCCGGCTATCAGCTACCTCTCGGACAACCCAGTTCTGTTCTCCTTCAATCTCTTCGGGCTCCGGTACAGGAACTCTTCTCTCAGGACCTACTGGTGCTCGGTAAGGTTCCAGAAGAGAGACATGAAAGACCGGGTGGATTCCCATTTGGGGAGGAAGAGAGAGCTTGTAGGCACGAGTACCAATAGCTTCTAAGACCTTAAAGGGTCCTATCTTCTTCTGATCCAGTTTTCCCAGAGGCCGCTTTGTTTGCACATTGCGCCGGTCCAACATAACTTCATCTCCGGGCTTGATTTCAGGCGGTGCCAGGGCATGAGCATCATACCACCGGGCCATCCTTAATCTAGCTTTACCTAAGCTGGCGTTCATAGCCTGCCAGATAGATTCCCATTGAGATATCATGACCTCGCTCGCTGGATTGTTCCATTCTACTCCTTCCTTTGGGGCCGGCCAGTTGGTCCTGGGTTCATATCCATAGTTGGCATAGAATGCCGATACTTTGGTAGACTCAGAGACCGCCGAGTTATATGCATACTCTGCCAAAGGCAAGAGTTCTGCCCAGTCATCCTGTTGATATGAACAATAACTCCGCAAGTAATGCTCCAGGGTCTGGTTAACTCTTTCTGTTTGACCGTCCGTTTGGGGGTGGAAAGAAGTGGACATCTTCAGCTTCACATTGAGGAGACTCATGAGAGATTGCCAAAAGTGAGAGATGAACCTGCTATCTCTGTCCGAGACTATGTCATCAGGTAACCCATGGAGTCTCCAAACTTCCTTCAAGAACAGCTTAGCCAAATCTTCCGTTTTATTGAGGGTAGGAAGAGGGATATAGTGTGCCATCTTCGAAAAACGGTCCACTATTACCCAGATCTTTGTAAACCCACTAGATTCCGGTAACCCCACAATGAAGTCCATAGAGATGGAAGTCCATGGCCGATAGGGTATCTCCAACGGTTGGAGCATACCAAACTTCTTGTGTCTTGAGGTCTTATTCCTCTGGCAGCTATCACAGCTCCGGACATATTCCTCAACATCCTTATCCATGTTGGGCCAAAAGAAGTTGTTTTTCACCCGCTCTAGTGTCTTAAATTGGCCAAAATGACCAGCCACCTTAGAGTCATGGGTATCGGACAGTATTTCCATCTGAAGCTTCTTGTCTTTGGGTATATACCATCTATTCTTGTAGAAGATGAGACCGTTCTTGACCGACAAGTTCTGGTCCAAATTTGGTTTCCTTTCAACCAGGGAGCGGTGTAATTCCTGCCAGAAACTATCCTCTTTAGCAGCCGTATATAGGCGCTCTAAGAATGTATTCTGCAATTGATTCACCCTGACAGCCACTAGCTTTGCAGGATCCAAAACCAATTGACCTGGCCTAAAAAAGCTCTGTGGCTCTGGCTGCAGAGTTTCACCTCCCTCTCCAAGGCGGTGATCCCAGCGCCTAGATAGCACATCAGTCTTGCCATTCTTTTCTCCCGGTCTGTAGACAACTTTAAAATTGTAGCCTGCGAGGTCCTCAGACCATCTAGCTTGCCGCATAGTGAGAACCTTGGTAGAATTAAAATACTCCAAGTTCTTGTGGTCTGTAAAAACCGTAATCTCTTGCTCACAAGATTTGAGCATGTGTTCCCATTCCCGGAAAGAGGCTACAATAGCTCCCATTTCCTTATCATGAATGTCATAGTTGATCTCAGCAGGGGAGAACTTCTTAGAATAGAATGCCACCGGATGTAGCTTTCCATCGTCCCCATACTGAGAGAGCACCGCTCCCTTGGCAAAATCACTGGCATCTGTCTCAACCACCGTTCTCCTACTAGGGTCAAAATGAAGGAGGATGGGAGCGCTTGTGAACAGCCTCTTGAATTCTTCAAAGGCCTGCTCATGTGCTGCTGTCCAATACCATTTCTTGTCTTTTTGCAAGAGGTCAGTTAGTGGTTTGCAAACTTTACTGAAGCCTTCAATGAAGCGGCGATAGAAGTTTGCAAATCCGAGGAATGCCTGTACTGCCTTGATATTCTCAGGGACTGGCCATTCCCTAACTGCCTCCACCTTGTCTTCGGACATAGATACTCCTTCTTCCGAGATATGATAGCCTAGGTACTCTACTTCTCGGACATGGAAGGATGTCTTACCGATCGAGGCACAGAGCTTAGCTTCCCTGAGCTTCTGTAGTACCTTCTTGACCAGTAGCTCATGCTCTTTCTCAGTCTCCGAGTAGATGAGGATGTCATCAATATAGACAACCACTCCATCATCCAGTAGTTCCTTTAGCACATCATTGATCATTGCCTGGAAGGCGGAGGGAGCATTGCATAGACCAAACGGCATCACATTATACTGATACAGTCCATAGCGGGTTCTGAAAGCGGTTTTCCACTCATCACCTTCTGCTATCCTGATCAAATTGAAGCCGTTCTTCAGGTCTATCTTTGTGAAGATCTTGGCCTTGAACAACCTGTCCCTGAGCTCACTCATGATAGGCAGTGGGTACTTGTCCTTGACAGTGACCTTGTTCAATCCTCTGTAGTCCACACAAATCCGCAATGTCCCATCCTTCTTAGGAATGAACAGTATGGGCGCCGCAGCAGGGCTGTTAGATCTAGAGATCTTTCCTGAAGACAATTCTTTGTCCAGGTACTCTCGGAGGGCCTTCAACTCTGGAGCGGAACATGGGTACAGCGGGCCAAATGGGGGAGCGGTGCCAGGCAAGAGTTTGATCTTCAAATCATTATGGGAATGCGGCGGCATTTCCTCAATCCTCTCTTGACTGAACACATCAGCCCAATCCCGGTATAGGTGGTGTATTTTCTCAGCAATATCACCTCCGTCCTCATCATGCCATACTGAACCAACCAATTGATAGACTGTCTCTTCTTCTTCCAACATCTGGTATGGAGAGATCAGTTCAATCTTGGTGGCCGCTGGGAGACAATTCTGCTTGCAGTAGTCACTCCTCCAGCTCATGGTGTTGAGTTCCCAATTAATGTCCGGGTTATGCTTCCTAGCCCAACTAATTGGCAGGTAACCGGTCATTCCTTCTTCCAGTGTGGCCACCTCCCATCGGAGTGTCTCTTTATGATCTCCCATAGTCATACGGACCGGGTGAGTGTAATACTCGCCTCCTCCCATCATGACATCTCCTTGAGCATCAAACATTGTCAGAGGTTGATCCCGCCGCACTAAGGGTATTCCATGTTTCCTGACAAAACTCTGGTTGAGGATAGCTCCTGTACAACCGGTGTCAAACAGGAAAGACCCTTGGGCGCCTTCATCCTTTCCTTTGACCGTCCATGACAGTCTTGCCTTCAGTATAGGTCTTTTTCCATGTACTGGTAAGGAGGGAAGCCTCTGTTCCAACCTTCTCTGCTTAACAGCGGTTTCCGGACTTGGTTCTCTTTGTCTTTTCAACATAGCTAATAGCTTCGGGCACTACTAAGATCAGAGATCCTTTGGTTCTATTCCCAAGCGATAATATAGCAGATGTATTGTGTAGTAGTCCTTTTTAGCAGCGGTTTGGAAGTGTCTTGGTAGCAAATGTAACTTTGGTAGAGCACTGACAGACCAGCTGTTTCGGGTCTTAAACCCATCCTCAGAGTGCTTGGAGCAATCAAATAGGCGAAAAACACAATCATAATTTATTCAAGAGAAACATAGAAACCGAAAACCCCATATAAAAGAAAACTAGTAAACATAGACTCAAACAGACACTTTTCTACCAGATGATTTCATTGTCCGAGTCTTGCTCAGGCTGAAAAACAAAATCTTCTGTAACCTCCGGGAGTACAACAAGTGGATCTTCTGCTACTACAGCAGCCACTTTAGCCTTCTTCTGAGAGTTGGACTTGCCATTCCCTCTTTTCCGCTTTTGTACTCTCACTGCTGCTACTCGAACAACAGTAGGTTCCTTGGACCAACAATCGGTCCATTTGTGTCTGGACTTGCCGCACTATTGCACAAGTCAGTCTATGCACTCTACCAATAGGGAGTGCCGGAAGGTCATACCTTCAAGCATACTTCTGCTTTCCTTCTTTCTTCTAGAATATCCCCCGGGATACCCTTCAGTTCCACCGCTTTGTCCTTAGGTCCAGGAGTCTTCTGAGGTCCGGAGGAGCTCGCAGCTTCTCTTTTCCTCTTAGGCTACTGGTCCTTCTGAGCGGGAGGATCTTTCTTGGTCCGAGGGTGCGCTTTCTCAGCTGCCATCCCTTGGTACCTCTCATGGGTATGCCCTAACTCTCTTAGAGCAGCTATCCGCTCCATCAAGGACTTTGGCTTGGGGTTAAAAAGAGCCCAACTCATGCCTAGGTCCGGGAGGAGGGAGTTATGGATCTTATCATCCACCAACTGACCCTCATAGCCAGTCTTCCACATCAGCTGAATAACAGTATTCAGGAAGAGATCAATTCCTCCTCGGGCTGTGTGGGTAAGGGTATTCCATTGGGCTACAGCATCATCTCGAGAGATGGCTTCACCGAAGGCAGCTCTAAAAGCATCCACAAAGGAATCCCAGCGCTTCCATCTCTGATCCAACTGCACCGGCATCCCAGCAAGGCGGTTGGCGGAGGCTTGATCAATTGAATTGTGGTATGCCTCATACCATCGGATCGCTGCCTCACCTTCCATCAAGTTGCCTGCATATCGGATCTTAACCTCCTCAGAGGTAAAGGATAGGCTCTCAATGGAGAAGACATTCTCACATTGCCGGATAAAGGTCTCCACTTGCTCCGCCTTGCCCTGAAACTTAGAGGGTGGTGGTGCCTTTGGTTCTCGAGCTCTGGTGGAAGTAGAAGGGTGGGAGGCGGACGGAGGTTGATACTGCTGGGACATCATTGCCAACAGATTCTTCTGTTGCTTCTCCAACTTCTTCTTAAGGTATCTCCGCCAATCTCTTCTGTTACCACCTTCTGGTTCCGAGTCTGAGCTGTCAGAATTATCCGAATCTCCTGGAGCGGGAGCACGGGCTGCTGGTGGTGGAGGGTTCTGATTTCCGCCACTTCCTCCCTGTGCCTGAGCTGGAGGGGGAGCGGCGGCCGCAGCAGGAGGGGCCACAGGTGCTACTGGTGCCGGGTTGCTGGCCAATGGTGAGGTTGCTGCTGGTTGAGCAGCCCCAGACATGGTAAACCTTCCTGAGTTCCTGGCTAGCGGACTAGGGGGTCCTCGGCCTGCACCTGAGAAGAACTCTCCTTCATAGTCAAAGGATCGGTCGGCTCCTCCAAGGAGTGGATGTGTTCCACCGAAGCGGCTAGGTGGTAAGGGTGAAGCCCCCACCGCTGGCTGCACAATAGGGATAACTCTCCTAGTGGATCGGACCGGAAATGCTGCAAAGGGGCTGGTCTTCCGCTGCATTGTCCTGGTAGCTGCTCTGGAAGAGGACCTGGAGACTGAAAGTGGTGCCGGAGTTGCTGGTCTACCCACCACCAACCTTCCTTCATCAAGAGCTCTCTGTATCTCGGCAACAAAGTCTGGTGGAGTAGCCGGATTTGTCCACTCAATCTCCATGGCATCAACATCGGCATTCAGTTCATCCCTTTCTGCATACTTCCGGAGCTCTTCCTGAACAGAGTTGACTTCCGACCTCATGTACTCTAGAGCTTCTGCCATCAGAGCATTCTGTGCTGCCTGGCGCTCTTGTACAATGAGCAGTGCCTGACTGCCTCGGTTCAACTGACTCTGCAGGCTGTGCTGGAGGTAGGTCTGAAGCTCTGTGAAGAACTGTTGTAAGGAAACCTCATCGGTATCTTGCCAGGCAGGCTCACAGCCGGGAATATAGGCCTGTAGAGCGGTCCTGGGTTTCTTAACAAGCTGTGTCTGCCCGGTGGCATCAAGCTGGAGGGGCACCGGCTGCCATTCAATCTGAAGGGGTGCGTCTGGAGCCGAGAGGGCGGACATTTTGTATAGAGGAAGAATAATCTGAAGGTGACTTGAGCCTTAAAGATTATCTGTAACGGGGGTCCTTTCTAAGAGAAATAGATTTGTATAGAATAGATACGGCCGTGCAAGATAGACAATCAGGTTGCAGATTATTCAAAGATACTATCGCTAGAACTCAATAATCTTTAAGGGCTCTGCTACCGATAAGAACTTGGTTTTTTCTTTCTGATGAAGACTGGAGAGAATAGGACTGAAGGGCGAGAATGAACCTGAGTACTTATACTCCGAAGGCCTCTGTTCTCTGCTCCTAACTCCTTTTACTAAGTTCCGGTGGGCCTTCCCTCAGTACCGGAAACAATACCACCGCTACCCCGCTTTTCTCTAAGCGTCAGCAGGTGTTTCCGATACCCAAGGCAACCACCCTTAGTCAAAGCCTTTGTAACACCTGCAGTCTTGGTTGCCACACAACCGAGGACCTGCATGAATGAGCTACCGCTCAGGTGTAAGCTTAATCATTGCTGTAGAGCTTTCGCTTATTGTAGACTTCCCTAGCATAGTCCCTGCCCCTTCGGCGGACTTACAAGGCTCCGAGGATACAGTGGATCACCGGACAATCAGAGCTTCACTCTGGCCGGTCTTCTAGACACTGGCGAGGCATAGACTCGTCAGTCATTGCTCCCATGAATAGATCCACTTCCTAGCGCCCGGAATGTAGTTACTCTGGCAGCTGGTAGCTAACCACACTGCCGGTACTTGCATATCACCGTGCCACTGGCTTCTAACAATAACTCTCAGCATGTAACCGGGCCCTGTGCGTACTCATACACCAGACAGTTGAATTGGCTCCGTTACACAAAGCGCGTCAAATAATTGTTTACCTATCAATAAACGCACCACCTACACTCTCAAGACGTTCATATCCACCTGCACGACCAGTGCCTTTTAAACGGTCCTTTACCTGCGCAGGTGTATACCCTTTTGCTAATTCATCACGTATAATGTTTGTCAAAAAAGATGAACGTTTCCGTTTCCAGGATTCCTCTATTGTATGATTGTGTTGAAAACAATTTGTCGCGTCGCGTGGAATGACCTGTTCGACGGTGTATGTTTTGAATTTTCCAGGAACTGGAATGGATTCGGTAATTTTGATTCGCATCTTACAGCATTCCACAGGTGATCGGAATGAGGTTACGCGTGATTTCCCACTCAGATTCTCTGCAGGAAATCTCTCTGCCTTTGAGGATATTCGTCCTTTACCCAGCCGACAAGAATAGTAATGAGAAATTGATTTCCCATGCTTGTGTCTTTGAGTATTTGTATGCATCCAAAATCCATCTACTAACGGCCAATAAACAGCGTACTGTTGCTCTGTCAAGACTAAAGGGCCATCTGAGCTGGGGGAAATGGAAAAAAGCTTGTGAATCCAGTGCTCGTGGTTGTTTGGAAGCGGGATTAATTTTTCAGACATTTTGGATATGATCTTGTACGGTTCTTGTAGGTAAACTAGGTAGAGCGCGCGAATATTTTCAAAATCCGAGTGATTTTTATGATTGAGCACGCACCACCTTGGCTAATCTAAGAGTCCGTGCCTACAATCATTTTTGGACCTAAAAGGTCTTGGGCGCGCTCCCTCCCCAAGTGAGACCCTGCTGCTATAGCCCACCCCGTGCATGTAGGGTCTTGGTCGTGGGGCCTCGATATATGCAGGTGAAAGAGAAATGTACATACTTCATATCACCAGGGCATATGTGTAGATGGACGACCTTGTGGATGGAATTCTGCCTATTCACCGGGCGTACGCATAATGTCTCGGACGGGGCTGTTGAAAAAGTAGGACGAGAAAACATGTAGTTGAGCGACTTGATTCTTACGTCCTCGACAAAGAGTCTCACTCGCTATATATAAGCTGCGGATCGGACAAGTGTCGACACGGCAGTGACAGGTGTCGACACGACAGCTTCGGACAGCTCGCCTGTCCGAGGTTGACCTCATTCGAAAAGCCAAATACGCAGCAGGGGAAAGTCCACACGAACGAGTGAGATCCCATGAAGATGAGGAAGACACACAAATCCAGACAGCTGCAGCCCGGGGGATGTAACGAACTCCTGTTCAAGAACAGTATCGCAGGCAACTAACTGTAAAGTGACCAGAGTCAGAGAATACCCCTGCATTCAGCACCCCCATCCCACGTGAAATAAAAGAGTGGATGCACCGCGACACTATTTCCACTCGATCGTCCGTCTTTTGCGGTGTCGGGAAATCTACTATTTTACAAAAGAATATAGATCGCTAACCCCTTACATCCGGCCCTGTCCATTAATTGAATGGAGCCTAGCAATGAGCTACGTGATGGGGTAAAGGGGGCCAACCTAGTTGTGTCTGCACGCAGTGCGACAACAAAACAGTCTGGGAACGAGACTAGGGCCAACCATATTTCCCCTTCATCAGCTTCTTCCAGAATTCGAACGCCATAGCAATGTGTTGACTCGGCCATGGGCAATCACTCGCACATTGAAAACAGAGCCCTCGGAATTGACTTAACACTACATAGCAGATATATAGATTCACACAAACGAGCCGCAGACGCCAGCAATAAAGAGCGGAATTCGTATTTACATAGTAACTAACATGTCTGACTGACTCGGGTCTGCCAGCTATTGATATCCCAATGCACACACACATCCACGCCTCCCCACCTACCTCCACACTCCACACATCCACACCACGCACACCGCCCCAACCAAGATAACAGCAGCTCAACCAACGATAATAAATTAAAGAAAGAAAAATCGAAGCAAAAAAAAATCAAAAAACAAAAATTAGAACACCAAACCACCCAATCCATTTTTTTTCTTCCTCAAAAAATCGTACCATCACACAATCATTTCATACAATCGCGACTATAAAAAAAAACCAGAGAGAGAAAGCAAAAAAGAGAAGGTTTTCTACAACTTAATGCTGGCTCCACTCAATCGTGTTCAAGTCCACGCCCTCCTGCACCAGCTCCCACAACGGACTCAGCTCCCTAAGGAACGTGACCCGCTCCTTGACGGCCTTCAGCACGTAGTCGATCTCCTGCTCTGTCGTGAACCTGCCGATTCCGAAACGGATACTGCTGTGCGCGCTTTCGTCGCTGGAGCCGAGAGCGCGGAGGACGTACGAGGGCTCGAGAGACGCAGAGGTGCAGGCGGAGCCGGAGGAGAGCGCAATGTCCTTGAGTGCCATGAGGAGCGACTCGCCTTCGACGTAGGCGAAGGAGATGTTGACGCAGCCGGGATAGCGCGCGCTGGGGTCGCCGTTGAGGGTTGTGTGCTCCATTGCGAGGAGGCCGTCCGAGAGACGCTTGGAGAGGGCTGAGATACGCTTGTGGTCGTACTAGAAAAAAGTCAATATGTTTTCATTGTAATAATCGCGGAGAGGGATGTTACCTCAAGTTCCTCATAAGCAATACGGCAGGCCTCACCGAACCCGATGACGAGGGGCGGCGCAAGAGTTCCACTTCGGAGACCACGTTCCTGTCCACCTCCCGAGATCAAAGGCTCGATTCTAACCCTCGGTCGTCTCCTGACATAACAGGCACCAATTCCCTTCGGTCCGTACACCTTGTGTCCGGAGATGGACATCAGGTCGATCTGCATCTTGTTGACGTCCATCGGGATCTTTCCCACAGCCTGCGCTCCATCCGTGTGGAAAAAGACCTTCTTCGACCTACACAGCTTCCCAATCTCCTCCATCGGCTGGATAACCCCAATCTCGTTGTTGACCGCCATGATGGACACCAACGCCGTATCCGGGCGAATAGCCGCCTCCAGCTCCTTCAAATCAATCAACCCATTCTCCTGCACCGGGAGATACGTGACCTCGAAGCCTTCGCCCTCCAAGTGACGGCACGAGTCGAGCACGCACTTGTGCTCCGTCTGGCTGGTGATGATGTGCTTCTTCTTGCTCTTGTAGAAGCGGGCGACACCCTTGATGCTCATGTTGTTTGACTCGGTGGCGCCAGAGGTGAAGATGATCTCCTTTGGGTCTGCGCCGATGAGGCGCGCAATGTTGGCGCGGGCCTCCTCGGTGGCCCTCTCGGTCTCCCAGCCGTAGGCGTGGGTGCGGGAGTGCGGGTTGCCGTAGAGGCCTGTGAAGAAGGGGAGCATGGCGTCGAGAACACGGGGGTCGGTGGGGGTGGTAGCCTGCATGTCAAGGTAGATGGGGCGGGTGCCCTCATCCATTATTGTGGCCTGCTTGAGGATCCCTGGTGGATATCACATCAGGTTAGCCAACTACAACCCAATACCGGATGAGTGGGTAAGAGGAGGGGAAAAAATTGAAAATAGAGACGGAATAGTTACCTGCAGAAGGCGACATCATGGCATCGGCAGTCAATCCGTTCCCAATTGACATTTCCGACGGCTGCATCCCGCCAGTCTTGTTGACAAAGTCCTGGGTATCAATCGCCCTGTTCTGCACATCGACATTGACAGCGGCATTGACAGCGGCATTCTTCTTTCCCGACGACGAGACGTAGCATCTCGCCTGGCTCTGGAGCCTAGGGAGGAGCGTACGGGCCAGCGGCGGCGACGACCTCAAAGACGCCGAGCGTGCAGCAGCGGCGAGGTTTGTGGCGCGACACAGCGAAGGGAGCACCCTTGTGGGCACCGACATGACTGTAGATGTGCGTAGATAGTAGATGCTGGAGATATGCAGGTCTTATCAGATTGAGGGTAATATATCTGAGTGGGCTGATGTTTTTCCTGGGGGAGGGGCGAGAGTTGCGATGGGATGGGATGGGATGTGGGCGGGGGGCCAAGCTGCGTTGATATTCGCTGCCGCCCCTCATGTGGCTTGGCAGGCGTGTGGGTGGCTGTCGGCGGTTCTTGGTAAGCAGGCTCGGTATATCTCACCGCCCGCGAATCGGGGCCGGCGGCCGAGGCGGTTCGAATTCTAGAGAAGATCCCCCGATTTGTCGGAGGGACGTCGATATCACATGAGGCATTGACGAGAGCGAAAGAAAAATCCATGTGCCATCTTTGTGGTTCACTCAAGGCCGACCTGCGCTGCCGGTGTTCTACCTTCAGTTTGGTGTTATCGTTGCCCCCAGATGCATGTAGCCGTGGTGCTTGGAGGTGGCTGAACGCTCCCCCGCCGTAGCCGCTGGCACGACACAGCCTGCATCATCTATCATGATCAACAGCACTGGGCGCATCTCAGGCAGAGAACTCGAGAGTCTAGACGGCAGATTTGGACAATTTTACAAGGCGATGCCTAGAGTTCACGATGCAGCACGTTAATCTTGCACTTATTGATGTCCATGTATACGTACCTTATCCGTTCTCTACTCCCGCGATAAGGAGGAACATCTCGAGTCAACCACGCCTTTCCACCGAGATGGAATTTGTCCTATTCCCGCCGTATATCCGAATTACAGAACATTATGATATCGCCCGTGCCAGGCCATGGCCAGGGGAGAGAGAGGAAAACCCTTGTATCCGGATGCGATCACACATCCCTCATGACGTAAATACAAAGTATGGGGGAAGATACGCCGAGAGCTGCTCTTGGGTATAAATTCAGCCACAATCCCCCTCTGAGTTCCTCAAACCCAATTCCTCAATCTTGAAACTATAGTCGGTACCCTAAATCCATTAATTTCATCGAAAATGACTCGCATTCTGCTTACCGGTAAGTTCTGCCAGCTCAGTTCTCAAGCTACCTCTCCAATGCTCTAGGGAAACTCATACTGACGGTTCTTGCCCACCAGGTGCCTCTGGCTTCATTGCCTGTAAGTTCCTCTCCACCACCTGGGGCCAATCTACATCTAAGGTAGTCGCCGAATAACTAACACCCGCCCCAGCCCACATTCTCGAGAAGCTCCTCGCCCGCGGCTACTCCGTCCGCTTCACCGTCCGCAGCGAAGACAAGGCCCAAAAGCTTCTCGCCGCCTACCCATCGCACGCCGACAAACTCGACTACGTCCTCGTCCCTGACATCGTCGTCCCCGGCGCCTTCGACAAAGCCGTGCAGTCCGACCCGCCCTTCGACGGGATCCTGCACACCGCCTCCCCCTTCCACTTCAACGTCACCAACCCGCGGAAGCAGCTCATGGAGCCCGCAATCCAGGGCACCGTGGGCATCCTGCAGGCCGCGAAGAAGTACGCCCCCAGCGTAAAGCGCATCGTCATCACCTCGTCGTTCGCCTCGGTGCTTGACGCCACGCAGGGCAACAGCCCGGGCAAGACGTACACGGAGGCCGACTGGAACCCAATCACGTGGGAGCTTGGCCTCGAGAATGCGCTGAATGGGTACCGCGCGAGTAAGAAGCTGGCGGAGAAGGCGGCGTGGGAGTTTGTGGAGAGGGAGAAGCCGGGTTTCGAGATTGCGACGATTAACCCGCCGATGGTGTTTGGGCCGCCGAAGCCGTATATTTCGAGCTTGGAGAACCTGAATACTAGCAATGAGGTATGGGTTTTTTCTTTCGTTTTGAGAGAGGGAGAGAGAGAATGCGGCGATGAAGCAAGGGGCTAACGGACAGATGTAGCGCACACTGAACTTTATTCGCGGTAAATGCAAGCAGGGTCTCCCACACAGCGGTGTCTTCCTCTGGACCGACGTTAGAGTAAGTCCCCAGGCCCCACAATACACATCCCCAACCCCATTCACACACTAACCCCCGCAATAGGAAGTAGCAGAGGCCCACATCCTCGCCTTCGAGAAGCCTGATGCAGCCAACAAGCGTTTCCTGGTCGTGTCGGACAAGTACTTTTCCAACCAAATGATCGCGGACATCATCAAGAAGGACTTCCCCGAATATGCCGACCAGCTTCCGGAGGAGAGGGAGCCTAACGATGGGCTGCCGGAGGGCGGGTGCTACAAGGCTGATAACAGCAGGAGTAGGGAGATCCTGGGATTGAGTTATAGGCCGTTGGAGGAGAGTATTAAGGACCTTATTGGCGCGTTGAAGGAGATGGGGCTGTAAGTGGTGGTTGTTGAGTACTGGGACTAAAATGGCTTTGTTTTATCTGGGTATATAGCTTACATTAGAATAAACTATATATATACACTACACGTTAAGTTCATTCTTAGTACACAGGTGCTAGCGAAAATGGTTTGGCAGATAAAAAAGGGAATCGCGGGAGAAAACGGTGATATTCTGGACAGCATGTATTCGAGACCTCACTGCATATAGTCTAGACAAAAACGCTATCAGAAGAAGAAAAGAAATAATAAAAAGTAAAAATCTAATGAGTTTGGACTAAGATCCAGAGACGAGTGATTTCACATGATTGTCCCAACGCAGCATTCGCACTAGCCATCTCCGTGAACTTTCTTGCTGACAACCAAAAAGAACGCTTGAAACGGAACCAAGAATCCGATGTGCACAATACCGCACGTGCTCCGCACGCGGTACAGCCCTTTCCGTCATATCATCCCTATATACACAAACCAATCCTGCTTGCATCGTGCCAGTTCGCTGGCACCATCATATCATCGATCGCGGTGATATCCAGCACAAACACTCTCTTCAACTGCAATGTCAGCCACTTCTACATCTTTGTTGCATCATGAAATATTACTCGGACACCAAGACGCCGCTTTTGACCACGCGCGGCCCACGTATCCCTTGGCCCCGTATACACATGTGCAGACGGTAAGCACGGGCGCTCCCGTCCATCTAAGGGGCCTGGGATTTGCGTATGAAGATCAGATCGAATGGAGACATCCGTAGCCGGCTCAAGATCGAAGTCACTGCAATGGTGGCAGCGTTGATGGTAAGCTAAAGTTGTGCTTTCACGTATGTACAGCGACAGGTAATAAGTGATGGAACGCCCTGAGATACAGTTATACCTGCAAACACCGTATATTGGTGGCGTTTTACCCAAAACAGGTATCACTGTGTCTCAGCCTGTTCCATCACTTATTACCTACCGCTGTACATCGCTAGGATGTATGAGCCTGATGCGATCCTTAGTGAGGGCAATGTACCTTAAGCTACAATGCCTTACTCCTCGCACTAGATTGGACAGGTCGGGCCGAATTAAAGTTGGAACATCATCAAACGAACATACACTCTCGATCTCGAGATCATTTTAAAACGCCATGAAATTTTTAAAAGCTACATGTAGCCTATATATCGCACTCGCAATATACGAGTTGTAAGTACAGAAAAGTCCAAACCATGTCAGTGGCTGCCTAATAACACAATAATCTTCAAAAACGCCTCCCCACCTCCTCTTCATCCCTTGATACATAGAAGATAACATAAAAACATAGTAAATCATCAAAGATGCCTCGCAGCAATCAAGAGGATTCTTGCTACACCGCCCTGTGCGATCACGGTCTTTGCCATTCCACGCTGGGCAATTGGAAGAGCCATGCTCGCTGCATCGTAGTATCTCTCCTCCTGGGCATACTTGGGTTGCCTTGTGGTGTCTCCGGTAAGAGTCTTGTATGCTGCGAGTGTGTCGTCATTGATAGTGTAGAGTTCAAGACCTCGCCAGTATCTGAAATTGATGTTAGTCATAGCTTTGGAGAAATTTGCAAAGGGGGCTTGGGAACATACAGCCCATCACTATCATCCTTCAAGTAGGTCATAATGTAATCGGTATGTCTCTTGAATTCAGTCTTGATCTGTGAAGCAAGACCAGCGTTATCGTTACCAAAGACTCTGACGTACTCTGCCAATCCCTCGACAAGAAGCTGGCAGAAGAAGACATTGTCCCACCAGTATCTATGCTCAACGGTGGGAACAGAGGTGTCGAACAAGGCCTTGCTCCTGTCGAGTGCTGCGTTTACGAGTGTCCTCGCCTTGGATCCGCCGTTGTAACTGGGGTTAAGTTCATTCATCAATGAGATAGCATTGATGACAAGACCAGTATTGTAACTATTATCCGGATTTCCGTTAGCAGAGTTATTGGGAAAACTAAAATCTGGCCCACGTACGTGTAAAGTTGTGCATCGTTAGGACCATCCTTGATCAGCCCCGAATCCACCTGCAGCTCAGTAAGAACCCACTCGATACACTTGGTCGCGAACGCGGTCAACTGAGACTTAGACATGCCTGGGGTCACCTGTCCAAGCTTAACGAGTCTCAACATGGCCACGGCAGTCAAGGACGTTGTGACAGCGTTTCTGCCCGTATCACCATAATGCCAGATGACACCACCATTGGTTTCGTCCCAGCCACCAGAGAGGAAGTCAATGACCTTCTGTGCTTGAGTAAGGTACATAGCCTTGTCGGACAGTCCGAGCTCGTATGCACGCAGAAATGCGATCGCGACTTGAGCATTGTCATCTGCGTTATAAATTTTAGCCAATAGTCCGCGCACTGAAGCGGGCAAGATATCTAGACTAACCATAGTAGGCATCTTTGTCTGTCCCCGGGTAGACCCATGCGGTGTATGCATTGAGTGAGCTTTGAAAGAATTTCCCAATGCCATTTGTGCCTAGGGCGGCAGTAATCTCAGATGCAAACTCGCCAGAATGAGCGTGGGCTTCCAGAAGGCCTTGGGTGCCAATAACATATCCCCATAGAAGGGTTCCGTTGTAGTCTCCTATCTTTAATTGATATTGTCAGTTGAGGATTCATAGGGTGTAGACGTATATATAGGGCTTTTTGTATATACATACAGTCTCCGAGGTCGCTTTTTTGGATACATAGTGTTGTTTATCGCTGTCCCAGAAATAATTCCAAAAGTCATTCGATAACCTTACGCCCTCAGCAATCACAGAGCTCGCATCTCTACCCACAATACGCTCCGAACCAAGATCTTTTTTAACCTCGGTAGGATACCCTCCCATTGAACGGTCAAATCTGAGCTTAGTTGACACAAGATCCCTTTTGTTGATGGGTGTAGTGGGAACTCCGCCAAATGTCGCAAAAACCTGGGATATAGGCATTGCAAGCAGCAAAGCTGCGAATGAAGATTTAGAGAAAAACATTATGGTGTATGAACGAACAACACTTTGCACAAGGGACAATGGCGAAGATGTGTCTGGATAAAAAGGCCGGGTGGAGAGCGCTTTTTATTCTCCATTCCTCCCAGCCTTTATGTACTATTTCGGTAGGTATGTACTGACATTGAGAAAAGTAAGTAAGACATGCACACATGTATGCATGCCAGGGGTAAAAAGCCCACTTGATCCTTGAACCGAGGATCCATTAGTAGATTCACTTTTGATAGGCGCAAAGGGTTCTATGCTACGGCTCACTAGTGTCCGGTGAGCTTAATCCATGAAGAACGCCTCGGGGGGGCATCCTAATATCTACATGCCAATGGCCTTGTTGAGTCAAGACATCCAAGCTTTTCAATGTTCATGCAATGAAAAATTAGGCTTTTGTAACCCCCCTGCGTTGTTGACGCGCCAAACGATGGACTGTTGATGACCGCTGTGGAACAACGGCCGGGGAGTTGCCTATTGTATTTTAGGGGCTAGCACATATCATGTAGTGGAGCGGCAAAGACAGGTGGGCGGCAAAGGGACATCACAAAGGCACAAAAAAATGAGAAGGTACCTGGTAAAATTATTCAAACTCAGTGCTTAGTTATGCCCAGAAGTCGGAAATTTGTCTTTGTAATACTGCTATGTTGGTGGCGGTGGTAATGATAATCTTAGTTGTATCCTGAACTAGGATACTCGATGCTATCGATTAGGTATCAGGCAGTTGTACTCGATAGGTAGTAGGTTGTAGTAGAGAACCTAGTAGTAAAGTATATCTATGGCTATAGATTTACAGTAGTATTATGCTGGATCTACCAATCTGTAGGGCAGTTCTCTCGATGCACTTGCCAGCGGGATTTGGTCTCTCCTCTCCACCCTCACTCACACCTTGGTATCAGCTACCTACAGGGTAGTACAGAAAGGGATGCCGCAAAGGCACAATCGTTCTTGAAGATCGATACGTAAGAAGATTAATTTCCTCACTTACGGGACAGTTTTATCGTCGCTGTGCCACACCATGCCACACACTAAATTTTAGCCGAAGATCACCGGCTATCACTCACTTGATTATTTTTAGAGACATGGTGGCCCGGGCCTATCCCCACATAGATATCCATGAATTAAGACTTTCCATACTAAAGAGTCCACGTATCATGCAGTTTCCAGGCATCGCCTGACCAATGCCATGGGAAACAAGTCAAATTCCTAGTTCCTGTTTCCCCGACATGTAACCCCGGCACTGGGCTTCGAGTTTTTGACAATAGTGCTTGAGTCCCACCCCATGTCGCGCCGCCAGATCAGCCTCATATCCCTACCCAAAACTGTGCACCTATGCGTAGCTATGACAGAATGACTTTCCGTTCCAGGAACTCTTTTGGATATACATGAGCCCAGAAAGACTTCCAATGAGCTTTCGACAAGGCCAGTTGGACTGGAAGGAGAAGTACTGACCGTAGTGACTGTGGCAGTGCCTGATATCGTGGAAAACTAAAATAGCCGTTAGCGTCCTTGGCCCTACACGCTGCCTACATGTATGGTGCGCCCACTCTTAAAGATGACACGCCGCATATGGAAGTGGAATAATCGTGGCTGCAAGCTGACTCCAAAGGCCAATCAGCTTGGTGCCTCACTACCACGGCCCAGGCAGGTTTGCTTTTTTGGGTATAAATGGGTATAATACTGTTCCACTCCGTTCACTCTTGGCGCTTTTTACATACAAAAACAGCCAATTTCAATCTCTTACTTCATAACCATGATTATAGATATCAAAAATCTGTCAAGATAATCTCTTCTTCACCAGTATTTCTAGCCTTTCTCTTGACAGATTTTTGATATCTATTGTGGTGGTGAAGTTATAAGCGATTGAAATTTAGTTACCTTTAAGATCAGGGGCAGGGCTGAGCCAACGATCCCGTCGACGGGTAGACTACATGTATGTACGGACTGCATAAAGCCCAAAACAGGCTTAACTCGATAAATTGCTAAGGGAAGTTCTGATGTTTTGATGTTCTGATTTGGAGGTAAGGTAAAAATAAGAAAGTAACTACAATTAAGTTGCCCTCTTCAATGATGGAGGAGTTGATATTGTGTTTATAAGGTCGAAGTTACCAGAATGCCTAAGGCTGTCTAAGAAGTATTTTATTGCGCTATTTTGGCTTAGTAAGTACATGTAGGTATTATATTCAGAATCTGTCATTGACAGGGGATGAGAACAATTCCGTCCTGTCTGTCGACTGCGACTGACGGACTAGACGGTCCTCTGCTTGGCAGTCCGTCCATATGCAGTCCAAAACTGGTCCGTTGGCTGTATTAAATCAGACTCCGACTCACAACTCCTTCCGTTCCGTGAGTCCAAATACTTGTCCTAGCTATTTTAGTCATTAGAATTGGTCGGTTATTTTTTGAATTATTTGCGCGGAAACTCCCGGTGCAGGGTAGGCTAAGCTTTCAATAGGTCGAGAATGATCGATGACAGGGACCCAGTCCGCCAAGGGTAAACGCTGAGAGCCTTTGTAAGGCCTGCAAAAGCGGAGATCCAAAATTGACAAAGGAAACTTGTCGTAGACAGTCTGATATAATGTTGAAGGAGAATGCTGAGAATTAGAGACAGTAGGTAGGACTGATTATGGCCGGTCGAACAACAGGTGGAATATGATAACGTTGTGGGTATAATGGGCAGGTTATTTTACATCCTGATCAGACCCCATTATAATAGGTTTTCCACTTACAGGAAGCATCCCGTCATGACAACACTGGCCATGTTGGGGTCTTGGCTGGCTACCATAGGTATGCTGCGCAGAGACCATGTATCAGCGCCGCTAGTTCTCTCTATGGATACATACATACATGTATGCTCTCCCCAGGATCGAAGTGGTCTCGGGTACTATCCTTCCCAGTTGGCTGCTCCACCCAGAGGTCCCATAGAATACGTGCTCTATCTCAGCACCTACATAGCCATGGACATATGCATAACGTCTTCCCCACTCACTCGGACCCCCTCTTTAGCCGGACAATTGATGAAGATTGGTCGAGAAGAGGTATAGAAGCCGGTTACAACGTAGGTATCCTCGTTGTGTGTTAACTCTCTGGGTGAGTGGGATGTCTAAGTGATTATGAGCGATGAAGATATCTAGGTATACAACTATAGGCGGGCTGGCCCGCCTATAATCAGCTCTGTTTAGGTTGTCTCGCCCACAGAGGCTTTGACGGAGCAAGTTTACAACTCACTCATGATTTCCATTAGTATCAAATCAACGACTCGTGCAGGTTCCGGGTTGGCGTGTCTGGCGAACCGGATAGTGAGTGACATCTCATGATCTGGGCGATTTCATTTCCAGTTCTCCACATGGTCCAGGTTCGTGATCAAGCTGTGAACCACGCTGATATGACTCCTTCAATTTCAACATCCCCAGGCGTTTCGTTAAATTCATCAAGAGATGCGAGATGGTGGTGCCTTCAAGGAATGCACATGTAGGTAATACATGTAGTTAACAGCTGGGTAATCATTGAGAAAGTGCGCACGTGGGGAAACTTAAATTTTTTAACGTAAAGCTCTCAAGACAGACTGACCTTTACACCCGCCCAAAGTACGGGGCATGCTAGAATACAATGCCACCTTCCTCGGGGACTGGCGTTGAAGTTAACTAGTTGCCTCTTCCAGACAGCATATATGCGTAGAGATTAATATTAGGGACATATTCACGACAAACAACCAAATAGGTGAATTTCAACGTCTTGTGTGACAGGCCGTGGAGACGAATTAATACCCCCCAGAATACCTATATAATCTTCAAGATTGCGGTATTGCCACGGTATCCCCTGGATGTTCGAGACATTTTGCGACATCTCTCTCATGCATTCGCGTGGTCTATCCAGGAAGTGATTGACACTATATATACAGAGCAGCATCGCGAGAAGTTTATGGTACATCAGCGTACTCCAAAGACTTGTAAATGCGGCACACTGCTTACCCTGACGTTTTCCCACCTAAACTCGAGATCACATGATATTTATGCATAAGAGAGATTTCGCAAAATTAAAATGTCTCGGATAGGTAATGCAGGTTAGGATTCCGATTTGATTCGGTGGGTTTACTTGCTACAGTATATCCGTTTTTGTACTGTATCAAATAGTATTGAATGCACTTTCGTTCTCATATTCGAGGGGTTTAAAATAATGCCCGTACTTAATGACTCTTTCATCCACCCAAATCTCGCCCTCTTCGACAATACCTACACAGGGGTCTGTTCTCTTTCTAAACGCCAGCGAAGCAACCTAGGTGAGGAGCTCTATTCGTGAACTAGGAAACCTCGTTTATCTAGCGGAATACAGGCATGTACCCAGGAGGTACATGTATTTACATACAAGTGAGAGCTTCGCTGTCTCCCATCAATTACTACCAACTGGCTAGTTGATCAACAGAGGCCAGACACGCGCAAAAAACGCAAGACTGATCTTGGCCATTTCTATTCGCTAAATGTATGTGCTTATAATAATACAGCAGCTGAATTATGTGATCGTGGGGGAGGGGTGTGTTATGTAGGTTGAGTTGGGCGTTGCGCATGCGCGGAAGAGAAGTTGGTTGGGATTTGTGCCAAGACACAGAGTTTGTATCAGCTTTGTCAAAGCCATCAACATTTTCCTTCGGAATGCTGGAAAGGTTCTGCCTGCTAGGTAGTGTAGGTACAGTACATGTAGGCTGTAGCTACGCACTCTCGGATGGAAATACGACTCCACACTAGTCCAGGTAATACGCATGATGACGTAAAGATGATACCTACGAACGAGAAAGAAGCTTAAATACAAGCCTTATGCCAGTGAGCGGTAACTCGGCAACCCTGCAGGGCGCCGGGCGGATATGTCAACTCCCGTAGGTATTCTACATGATTGATCACTTCAACGTCCAAGATCGAGAGGTTTCATACCTTCTCTTTCTTTGTATTTCCTTTACAGGGCTTTCTTCTTCTATTCTTATCAAGGCCAAATAACGCAACGCCAAGTCAGAAAATAAACACTCAACCGCAGACACAGCCGGCCTGCAGAACTCCTTCAAGCCTCACTATGCGACAAATATTTACCTAGATCACTTCAAAGAATAGTACATGTAGTTGAATAATTGGACGGAAACAAGGTCCTCTAATAAACGCACCCGCCTGCCCAGCCAAATTAACCCCTGACCCGTCATGGCGATCCTCCTGGGTCCAGGAGCTGCGGGACGTCAGGTGGTAGCCGAACTTGAAATATCTGATATGGCAAACTCCCAGACTCGTGTTGTGCTCAAACAGATCCAGTACTCAGTGCCGCTACTTGTTCAGCCTTCACCTTACAGGCTCTCCTCCAGCTGACAGGCAACAATAGAATTGCATGTGCAATATTACCACACACTCCTCCAAGCCTCATCCTCCTCACTATTCTGACTCCGCTTCTCAGAAATACGTGACGAATTCCAGCCCCACCACAATTTATAACAGTCATCTTCTCTAACTGTATTATATTAGCTGTGCATATAAGAAGCCGATCACGATGGCCAGGATGGCGTGCCCCCCCGTCCTCCCTCTCTACAAACCCCGCGAGCTCTTCTCGATGCCGGTCTCCTATCTCCCCTCACAGATCGACGGCGGCGCGTCTTCCACGCCCTTGAACTTCCGCGACTCGCCGTTCAAGCTGCTCTGGGCGGATATCAAGCTTGTCGCGAGTTTACTGCTATGGGTGCCGCATATATTTATGCCCATACGCTCGACAAACAAGTACTCGGAGCTGTACATGAGTCGCGGGAATATGCGCGATCTATTTATTCATTGTGTTTTGGGTGTGTTGGGAATCATATTCTTGATTGTTGCGGTACCGTTGGCTATTGCGGCGCCCGGGGGTGCATTTTTGCTCTTTGTGGGGTTATATTATGGCATAGTGTGGATATTGTGCATAACGTTGAGAGGACCACGGGTCGTCCATAGCAAGTTTAATTTGGACGGCTATGCAGTCAAGCCCGAAGAGAACTGGGTCTTTATAAATGGTGTGGCTGCAGGCGAACACTGGTTGCAAGGTTGGTTTTTTCTCGGAGTTGTAGGGGGTGGTTGAAATAATTTGGGAAGGGTTGATCTAATATGAATATATCCTCATCAGAAAACATCGACATGCTCAGCTCAATATTCAAACGGCCCGTGGTTGGCGTGCATAACCAGACGTACGGCACAGTGTTCGACCTTATGGAATGTCTCGTCCAGCGGTGTTTTTCATACTCCACCGAAGACACCCGTATTATCTACCGGCATCTCAAAGGCGTGCTGATGAACCGTGAGATCACCAAAGTCGTAGTGGTAGCGCACTCGCAGGGGGGCATCATTCTCTCCACGGCACTGGACAGCTTGTTTGCCGATGTTCCGAGCGACGCATTTGACAAGTTGGAGATCTATACTTTTGGGTATGTGTCTCACCTTCCCCCGTTGTGCACGTGTGCATGCTGTGCTGTGATGTACATGTACGCAATGCTGATCCGTGCATGCCACATACCAGCTGTGCCGCTAATCACTTCAACAATCCCGTCCGCTACGTTCTCGACTCTAGCGCTACTTCCTCTGAATACTCCACTAGCGTCAGTTCCTTCGCCACAGACTCGCAAACTACCTCCCCTGGCCCCCCCAGAGAGGAGAGATTAATCCGCCACATTGAGCACTACGCCAATGAACACGACTTTGTTGCCCTCTTTGGCGTGCTCCACTTCACGCGCGACAAGCTGTCAAACAGGTTTGTGGGGAAGGTGTTTGAGAACAAAGGGCATGGCGGCCATCTCATGAACCAGCACTACCTCGACCGCATGTTTGTAGACGAGGCGAGCGGGTTCTTGGATCAGGTGGTGGAGATCGACGAGAATACTGCTATACAGCGTGAGGAGGAGGCCGATCTGGAAGGTGCTTTGAATAGGACTGAGGTGGAGGCGAGAGCGACGCATGGAGAGAGTATGGCACACGGCACAGCGGAAGCTGCGGGGGTTAAAATAGATGCCTCAAGGTCTATGGGGACCTTGGGGACTGGACAGACGAGGGGCACGATGGATGCTAGAAGGAGCGTGGAGAGACAAAGAGGGAAGACGGTGAGGGACTTGAGTAGGTTGTGGAGATATAAGGATGGCAACTCACCACAGGATTGAAAGGACTAGATTATATATCACATTTGTATATAGGGCGTTAATAGTCGTCATGGTTGTAGGAGTTTTGAATGGTTAGTATTAATATAGATGAGCTTAGATAATGACGTTTCTTATGATAACCTTTCGTCGATGTAATGTCAGACATACCATTCCCAATGCGTCTTCTCATGTGTGACGACGTTCGAGAATTCCTATAAAATAAGATGGTCTACTTCGAAACTAAGATTTAGTACTTAAGACCTATCATAGGTGTGTAGTGTACGGAACAAACCCAAGCAGGATTTGTTTGTCACAGTAGATCCTAGTCATAATCTATCACTCGACACCTACATGTATTCAAACAACATATAAATGATAAACCGCTGGTACGTACCTGCTATGAGGACCCATTTTTCCATTTAAAAGTGACTACAATACCAAAGAAGAGGATGTATGTAGTATGTGCTGTAATAATACGGAACTCTGCAAATCTCCGAACAAGTCAGAATACAAACTACTATACCGTAGCAATACCGCAATTAACCATGTGGCATTGATCTTCCAGGTCAGGTGCTGGATTCCTGCTTTTTGAGTACTTTAGTATACCACTTTTATGGATTCAGCACGTAACACATGAATATATGCATGTGATTTTGAGCTTTTCACCCCGCCCGGAATCTCAGGACTGGTAAACCGGTCATGGGAGATCACTCGGAAAACATGCAAATCAATTTGGAACATCCTCTTGTTAAAGTGATTCCCACCAACCAATCATTTATATCCTCCGTTAATAGCGTGGAGAAGTAGGCGGTGGCTGGATTTGCTTGTCCGAGTCCAGGAGAGCATGGCGCCAGACGTAGTAAAGCGATACTGCAAGTTCCTCGGGGTCTATGGCTCGCGGGGTGGCTCGACCATACTATATCTCTTCCTTTAGACTATGAGCTGGCTTTTCTTCTAGGCCAATTTCCCAATAGTGATGGGCACGAGACAAGACGAGACCAGACTTCGCCAAGTCTCTCCTCGTCTTGTATTCTTTCGACGGAGTCTTGAAAGTCTCGAGACAATGGTCTAGTCTCGTCAAAGTCTCAAGACTTTTCGTCATGTGACCATGGGGCTGGGGAAACGTAGAAATTATGCTATTCAATGCAAATAAAGGTCAATTCTTCTTCATTTTCGTTTTCTCTTTTTTCGTTCTCGTTTTTGGGCTGGGACTTGAACATTTATTTAGGTGAGGAATAAAAGTCAAAAAGGTCTCGGGAATTATCTCGGGACTTCCGGATCTGGTCATGTCTCGTCTCGTCTTGTCAGTCCCTAGGTCTCGTCTCGTCTTGTCAGTCCCTAGGTCTCGTCTCGTCTTGCTAAAAGTCTCGAGAATTCGTCTTGAGACAACTTGTCTCGTGCCCATCACTATTTCCCAACCCTCTAAGCCGGACAAAGCAATGGGTGGACGAGTACAAATCGTGCAAATTATGTACGATAATCGGTCACTCATGCCGCGCAGTATGTTGGCAGTACCTCGGTGTGGTGTGTGTCTAGATGGATGTGATGTTTTGACCCGGGGAAGTAAGCCGAATGTACATGAGTAAGATGGGAGTGATCCACGTTCATACTACGTAGCTGATCATAAAATTCTGGCCTCGCCCCTTGATTATGCTTTGGTTTCATCCGACCAGAGAACGAAGGTATCATGTAGTCCGCTGCTTCTTCAATTTCCTGGTTTCGAAAACCATTTATCGTGGATGATGACTACACAAGTATGCGCTCATCTTTATGAGCGATATTTTCTCCTACCTACTGAGTGGGGTACGTCGTGAGGCCGGGGATGCTTACCATTGTGCCGTATTAAGGTATTGGGAATGTGCTGTAGTGGGGTAAGTGATGCAAGCGGAGTTGCAGATACGTTGGGCGTGTGTAGATAGAAGCAGACTGTAGGAGAAAGTCAGTCATACAGCCCGTCCAGAGAGCTCACATACTACTAGTACGTCTAGTACTACATGTAAGCATCAGGCATTGCGGTGCTAAGCTAGCGCGGAACCCGAAGCAAAGACCATAGATTCAAAAGCCCAAAACACGGCCTGTAATTTTGTGGTAAGAGCAGCCTAGTGGTTAAGATACTTTCGTATCTCACACTTTGAGTCTAACCGACCGGACTGGGAAAGAGTATGGTAACTCGGCGACTAGTACCGATGATGGGAGGTTAGCAGTTCGATTCCCGACCCCCTCAACCTTGGATTGGGACCCTTGGATGAGAAGAAAGCAGCCTGGCGAGCGTAAGTCTTTTGTCGGGCGGATTAACTATAGTTTTTTAAAATAGAAAATGTCCCGCTCGGCTGAGAAGAAGCAGCGAATAAGAAACATAATTGAGATAAAATAAAAACATACCAAGTAAGGGTTTTAGACCACACCCTAGTCTCGTACCCATCCCCTACGAGTAGGTCGCTGCTAACCGACACCCTTCCTAGTTCCCTCTTATATATCGTCTCTATTATGTACCCACCAAAAAAGATCGCTTGCCAGCTATATAATAAGCTCTAGTAATGAATATTCTCTAACCCAACCGTCAATACAGTGGTATGCATGATGCCGCAAGGGAGGATCTTTGTGATGCAGAGCTGGTACATTCACTGGATGGGCACGTTCACTTAATGGCGATATCTCTTTCTTGGGGCAGACACCTTTTATTTTCTGTCAGCTAATTAGAGAAACATAAAAGGAATCTCAACGCAAGAGCTTCAATCAGAGGATGCAAAAGCCAGTACATGTAATTCTATACGAAAATAGAAACTAGGCTACATCGTTCGGATACCAGTTCCAGCTATTGAGTTCAAGCTTTTGGGGGTATGTAGGCATGCACATGGCTATGTACTCGTAGCTATATCTTATATCGATATATGTCAGTAACAGGTCCAACTACCAAGTCTTAAGATATTTATTTCACAGAATGTAATAGTAATAACAACCCCACGGCCCTCTTAGTCCTAAAGGAGGGGCCCTGCCCATTGAACGTTCTTTCGTTGGGGCAGGTATCGGAATACACTAAGGTATAAAGTAGTGTGGAGTTTATTAATATGTATTGTTTCGGGATTCGAAGATTTGAGTCTATATCATTGAATCAGTATGGACAGGGCGGAGTGGTAGTTATCAAGGTCTTAGAATAGCTTTGAGAATTTCATTTACTCCCTGCCGTTTTTGATATAATCACTTTCATATTTGGATTTTAGTATATATATTCGATTGTTTCCTGCGCGTCGGATGAAGCATTTCGTCGCGTGGGATGCGTGTTTTATTGATTGATTGGTAACGAATATTGTGTATTGAAGATGATATTGATGGCCGGAGAGGTGCTGTGAACGCATATTCGCTTTGAGCCCTCTCTTCCCCACCTTATCTGGGATTATTTACCTACAAGTACGTTTACTGTCTGCAGCTAGAGTTGGCCAGCGAAAAGGCCTCCGAACCGCCCGGCCAGTTGATGTCGAAATTGAAATGTAGATCAGGCTGTTTATAACGATTATTATTAGTCCTTCGGAAGTAATTCATGAGTGGGGATTAGCATGTATATAATAGTAAATTATTTGTGTTCTGTACCAGTCTGTTTGGATCTTGGCGTCGTGTATATCATGTTCTATCACTCGGGCCTTGGAAGTATGTGTTCATATCACGTGACTGCCAAGCACCTCGAAGACATGTATTGCAACTTTATGAAAACAACAGCCGCAAGCTCTCACTCCTGCGTGATTTCACCGATTTTCCGACACCCTGCAAACCCACAAATTCACGAAAAGAAAACCCTGATCTTCGCGTCCTCAGTAATAAGATAATGGTCAAGGTCGACAAGCAAGCTGCAGGTTTCGATGAAGGACGCCCGACGGTCGCAGATCTCTATGGTGACAATCCATTCGCGCAAGCTGCCAAACAGCACTGGTTAAAGGAGAAGCCGTCAAAATTTAGGCCAGATGCCTTGAAGACGGAATTCTATGATGTATTGGAGAAGGATGGGTTTCGATTTAGGTCTTTATTGATCTTGGAGAATCTACAGTTCTTGGAAAAGTCCGTCGTGCTCTCTGCTGTCTGAGGAAATAGTTGTTGACGTCTGTGCTACGAATAGGTTCCTGTGGCCCAATTTCTCGGAAGATTCCTCGAATTTTCATATCATCTTGATCGCGTTGATGGTAAACGTGAAGCGGAGAGAGAATCTGGGGATCTGGGGTAAGAATCGAGAAGTACGTGATGGATTGTTAAAATGCTGATTGAGTGGACTAGATCACATCTCCGGATCGCCCGAGAACTTCTCAACCCTGTTTCGCCGTATTCTGTCCATGTGCATTGATTACAGCCTTTCACTCTCTATCCGAACCCATCTACTGACATTCATTGTCACATCATTCCAATCATTGGACAGCAGTCTCGTACGGAAGGAATGTGCACCGTTGGTCTCGATAGGAATATGGCACAATCTATCTACCGAGGAAATCCGGGAGGCACGATTCGACAAATATCCCCAAACAAAGAAAGCCTGGAGAGCAGCTAAGAAACGTTATGAAGCATCGGATGATAGTACTCAGGCAAGATTAAGGTTCGAGAGGATGTGGCTTTTCCAGATGATGTTAGATTTTCTGAACCTCATGTGGAAGCCTGTAGAGGGAGATGATCTAAAACGTTTTTACGCCCATTCAAAGCGTAATATTTATCGAGCTAACTGAGATTTAGAGACTTTGACTTATTGCGAACGCTTTATCGAGCTTCTTACCGACCTCGAATCTCAGCTCCCCACAAGGCGCTATGTCAACTTTTTGGTTAAAGATCTTCACATCCTTACCGCCATTAAATTGTCACCTTTTTATGCTGGTTCGGAAAACGGCCTTTTCCGAGATCTCTATGCTCTCCTTGCTCATTATGTCAATTTTTCAATTGACGACCATTCTGGTCTCCAACTTTCCCAACAAGAATCACGACAAAATCATAATTCAGACCTCGCGAAACTTCAGAGAACAGCTTTCAAGCATTTCAAAGACAAGCTAACCATTCTTGCTCTTGCCAATTACGGAAGTATAGGACAAAGGGATGAGCTTGCGACCCATCTTACAGAACTAGACGACGAAGAAGTTGCGAGATTGTGTCAATTGCTTGGATTACGAACAGACTACCCCAAAAATGTAGCTGTACCTGTAGATCGTGTATTCTTGACAGAAGCACTGCTCGCTGTTCATGAGAGGAGAAAGACCTTCCAAGAACAGGCTAAAGAGCTTCCTGTGCTGCCGAACCAGAACACTCTTTTTGAGTCGTCTCTTCTCCGAAACGAGTACTACGACGGGTCTCGACCTCTAGCAATCCCGAAACTCAATCTCCAATACTTGACCGTGGGCGACTTCTTGTGGAGATCTTTTATCCTTTACCGATGCGAGGCATTCTTTGCAATCCGAAGGGATATCGAGGACTCATTACACCGGTTACAGCCTAAACTCCAATACCCAAGCATGCAAACCCAGTTTCATGGATTCTCCAAGATGGCGCTTTTGATCAGCAGGCCTTCGTACGTATGCGCCCCTCGTTTTGGCTGATTCCGAGACACTAATGGTCCCAGAATCCTCGAGACTGCACCCCCCCGTGTCGGTGAAGAAAAGCCGGCTTATGTTCGCGCGGAGATTAGTATTGATCTCAGCCGACTTTCTGATGAAGTTCGCCGTGACTGGGAAACCCTGCGACAAGATGATGTTGTTTTTCTCCTCGCGGTGAAGGGTATTGATGAGGGTGATAAGATGATCACTAATGGCGGGTCAGAAAAACTGAGCACTGCAGAGAAGTTCGGAATTAAGTGTTTGAGAGCCGCAGAAGTTATGCAAGTGCTCGACCAGGACGGAAGACAGTTGAGGAGTGGTGAGGGGCAAGTCAGGAGATCAGGTGGAAGATGTAGGTTGCACGTCAAACTAGACACGGAGATGTATAGGGTATGTGCACTACTATATTGACGCGTAATGGTGTTTCAGGGGAAATTACTAATGCACTTTACCCCAGATTGATGCGGATCATATCAAGGCTGGCAAACCGGACGTCTATGACTCCATTAATGTATTAATCAAGAGAAAGGGCAGGGAGAATAACTTCAAGCCGGTACTGGAGTCGATCCAGGAGCTTACGCAAGCGGACATTCCCATGCCACTTTGGCTGCAGGAGGTCTTCTTGGGATATGGAGACCCAGCTGGTGCGAACTACACTAAGCTTCCAAACCGTCCCAAGACCCTTGATTTCCGTGACACATTCGTTGATTGGCAACACCTATTGGAAAGCTTCTCGGGAATGGTGTGTTCCCCTATCTCTCATATATTGTCGATATTATTGATGCTAATGATATTACAGAACCTTCAACCAAAAGAAGGCACCGAGGAAGGATGTAGTCCTCCATATGTCCTCTCGGATAAGCCATCCCAGGAACAGTCTAGGCCCGTAGCTAAGAAACGTAGAAGAGAAATTATGGAGACTGTTGAAAATGATGCCCTTGAAGTTTCAACATATAAACTCCCGAACATGGGGCCTTACCCTGTTGACAAGCCGCGCACCAACCACATCAAGTTTACCCCGGCACAGGTTGAAGCAATTAGATCTGGAACCAATCCCGGTCTTACCGTCATCGTCGGGCCTCCTGGCACTGGTAAAACTGATGTTGCTACTCAAATTATTAGTAATCTTTACCACAACTTCCCGACGCAGAGGACACTGTTGATTGCACACAGTAACCAAGCGCTGAACCAGTTGTTTGAGAAGATTACTGCTTTAAACATTGATGAGAGGCATCTGTTGAGACTGGGTCATGGTGAGGAGGATTTGAAAACGGATACTAATTATAGTAAGCAAGGCAGAGTGGAATCGTTTATGGTGAGCTTAGCATATGTTCTATATTATCTTTCGGCTTCTAACATTTTCTCAGGATAATCGTGTTCGATTACTCGCTGAAGTAGACCGATTGGCGCTTTGTATGGGTGCCCCGGGTGCCCACGGTGATTCATGTGAGACTGCAGGCTACTTCAACCTCGTTTACATTCTACCAGCCTGGGAGAAATTTCAAGAAGACATTTCCGGTGATGACATAACCTCTGAAAAGATCTACGATGCCTTCCCTTTCCACAGCTACTTCTCCAATGCCCCCGAAAAGATGTTCCCAGACAATGCAACCGCCGAGGAAATGATCGAGATTGCGGAGGGCGGGTATAGACATATCTCAAGGTTGTTCTCAGAGTTAGAGGAGATCAGACCTTTTGAGCTATTGAGGACTGCCAGGGATAGGCAGAATTATCTGCTTACTAAGGAGGCGAGGATTGTTGCTATGACTTCGACCCATGCGGCTATGAAGGTGGGTTTTATTGCCCCGGGCCGCCAGACATCTGTATCCATGTTCTAACAGTTCCTTTGCAGCGTGGTGACATTGTCAAGCTAGGCTTCCACTATGATAACGTAGTGATGGAGGAAGCCGCACAGATCACTGAAGTGGAGACGTTCATCCCCCTAGCCCTTCAAGCTCCTAGAGATGGGGAGCTACCTTTGCAGAGAGTTGTGCTATGTGGTGATCATTATCAAAATTCCCCCATTGTTCAGAATATTGCGTTCCGTCAGTACGCAAACCTGGAACAGAGTCTTTTTGCCAGACTGGTTAGACTGGGTGTACCCACAGTGAACCTTGACCAACAGGGTCGTGCGCGCCCAAGTATTGCACAGTTGTACAATTGGCGTTATCGTAACCTTGGAAACCTTCCATTGCTGGATCAAGAGCCGGAATATCAGACTGCAAATGCTGGGTATGTTTATTGCCCCTTTCGATTTGTTTTGTGCAAAGTTACTCATACCTTCCAGGTTTCAACACGAATTTCAATTCATCAATGTCGAGGACTATAAAGGCCAAGGGGAACAGGAACCTGTACCCCATTTCATTCAGAATCTCGGGGAAGCAGAATACGCGGTCGCTGTGTACCAGTACATGCGTCTTTTGGGCTACCCTGCTGAGAAGATCACTATTCTCACAACATATGTGGGGCAGAGAGCACTCATCAGGGATGTTTTGAATCGCCGCTGCGCACGTAGTCCTCTGTTTGGCCTTCCAGCCGCACTCACTACCGTCGATAAATACCAGGGCGAGCAGAATGACTGTAAGTTCTCTAGCGCGCAGGATGCTTCCCCCCCACAGTTTACTAACAGATACGCAGACGTTATCCTCTCGTTGGTACGCACAAAGCGTGTCGGATATCTCCGTGACATCCGTCGCATGACCGTCGCTCTTTCCCGTGCACGTTTAGGGCTCTACATCCTCGGAAGACGCCAAGTTTTCGAATCCTGCTACGAACTCTCCGAGGCCTTCAACAGGCTCCTCGAGAACAAAAGTGACAAGCTTCAGCTCGTCACGGGCGAAATGTGGCCAGCTACCCGAAAGCCTGAAGACGATGTCGAAGCGGTAGAGATGTCGAATGTGGAGCATATCGGGCAGTATGTGTATGAGATGACGACGACAAAGGTGGAGAGCATGAAGGCCGCAAGAGGGGGCATTATAAATAGAAAGTTGTAGAGTGTGTATATTGGGGGTATACGTATATGCAGGATGTAACGATACAAAATGTGATGAGTTTTCGATACCAGTGTATAATATAACTTAGAAAAATGAAGGTCTGATGATTATTGATGATGCTGAAATTCTTGAGTCTGCACTGGTCTGGGGATAATGACGGCCTAGCATAATAGTTGGCTGAGGTTATGTAGGTTTCATGTGCTGCTGATTCGGCGACGTTGTGGGACATATTATCGGACATATTATCGGTTTAGGTGTTGAAACACGTTGAATACACTAAGGTATAGGTGTTAGCTTTATGACCTATTATAAGTTAAGCTGCATTCGACCATCATCCTTCCATCCTCCTATCAGAGAGCAAGAATCTTGCTGTTATTCTTGCTCTCTAAGAGCCTGAAAATTTTCTATCAATGGAAATCCATTACCTACACTATCGGAATCAAAATAATGAGATTAAACAGCTAAGATTCTCTCCCTACAAAGCGATTACTGAGATGTGTGACACCATCACTAACCCTAGCCTAGAGCTTACGGGCATTTATAGCCATAAGACATCTTTGGTAATTTAACCTACATTGATACAGCTTTACTCGCTGTAGTGCAGCGGATATTGGCTCTTTAATACGGGGATTCAAGGCTTCGGACATGCTCTGGGGAGTTTTTATCTGTTTTCTCTATCATTGACCCTTTTTTCTAAATATAAAGCGTTGCATCACAAGATCTCACACGACTACGATTCGCATATTAGACGGCCTATCTATACCTCGGTATCGTTATTACCATGTTGTTTCCAGAACGGCTCTTTATAACCCCCTCTCCGCTATCTACACCCCACCATACCATTACCCGCCTTCAAAACAGCTAATAGTCATAAAATCCCTTCCCAGACTTCTTCCCCAGCCAACCGGCATCCACCATCCTCCCCAGCATCACCGCCGGCCTATACTTCGAGTCTCCTGTCTCATCTGCCAGCACCTTCATGATCGCTAAACACGTATCCAGGCCAATAAAATCCGCCAACCTCAGCGGGCCCATCGGCACTCCCGTACCGTTCTTCATAATACCGTCAATATCATCACGCGTGGCTACGCCGGTCTCGAGACACATGACCGCCTCGTTGATGTACGGCATGAGGATGCGATTCGCGATGAAGCCGGGGGTGTCGCGGGACGTGGAGGGCGTCTTGCCCATTGCGGTGACGAAGGCGAGGGCGCGGGAGAGGGTTTCGGGGGAGGTTTGCAGCGCGGTGATGATTTCGACGCCGGGTTGGATGGGTACGGGGTTCATGAAGTGGGTGCTGAGGACGCGGTGGGCAGCGGCGGGGCCGGCGGCGGCGGCGAGCTTGGTGATTGAGAGGCTAGAGGTGTTGGTGGCGAGGATGGCGTCGGGAGGCGTGAGAGCGGGGAGGCGGGAGAAGATGTCGAGTTTTAGGGAGAGGATTTCCTGGAAAGGGTTGTTAGTGGGGTGCCGGGGAGGAGCGGAGGAGGGAGGGAGGTACAGGGACGGCTTCGATAATGAAGTCGGAGTCGTGTAGCGCGGAGAGGTCTGTGGATGTTGTGATACGGGATTTGACCTCGGAGGCGACGGAGGCAGTGATGCGGGACTTTTTGATGTCTTTTTCGAGGAGGGTGTCTGGTGCGTGTTAGCTCCTCTCTTCTTCTCTTCTCCCCAACTCTGAATATAAAGTCCGGGTATATGGAACATAATTCCAATGCCAATAGACAAGGTCTGGCTACTAACTCATAAAGTCGAGCGACTTCTGGATCGACGCTGGATTGCTGTCGATAATGGTGACGGGCACCTCGGCCACCTTTGCAGCTACGAGTGCAATTCCGAGACCCTGAATAGTACAGCAACTGTCAGCTTCAATCTTCCCCCCAAATATCCAAATTTCAAACGGAGGTTATAGAGTCAATACCATCTGGCCAGCACCAATAACTCCAAGCCTCTTCACACCGTGCGCCGCCTCAGCAGCAGCAGTCGACACGGAAAACAGCCGTGCTGTAGGCCTGACGAGCACAGAGCTAGCAGTACGCGGTACCAGTTTTCTAAACATTGCTGCAAATGGGGGTATATATAATAAGGACAATTAGTATTCCGGGGAGTTTTGGTTCGTCGTGGAGGTCGTGATAGTTATGGCTGGAGTGCTAGCTACGGAGGTGCTCTGTGGAGGTTGCCGAACGCACCGGCTGGGCGCGGCTGTCACATGCCAGACAATGCCAGACGCACATGTGGTCATGCTGCAGATTGTGGAATGGCCAGTGATGAGGTGAACTGTGGAGTGTATATCTGGGACCTGGTCAATGATTGCGGGTGCAGGCGAGAGAAAGAGAGAGAGGTTCAGTGGTGAGTGATTCCTCGTGATGCGTGGGAGCGGTGAGTGATGCGCGGTGACCGGCTCGGCGGGGCTGAGTGAGCGGTTGTGATGCGGGTGCGGCGGGTCTGCGAGGAATTAATTTCCAGTCTTGTGTAAAGCGCTTGAAGACTTAAGAGACTGATTAATGCTATATATAGATTCCAGATAGTCGAGATATCTACTCTATCCCCTTCTGATATTTATTGTGTTCCCTTCTCATAGCTGAGATATTCACTTCCGTTGTGCAAACCCTGGACGGAGCTAGTCTTGCATCACTTCACGCCCGACCGGAGAAATGCTTCCTAGGCTTGGAGTGCTGCAAGGTCAATGATCCGCTGCCACAAAACGCTGAGTCGTTTGCCCACCGCACTGACGCCCGGCGCCATTGCGCATCGAAAACAGTCATTCCCCTCCATAACTATCCCTGCGCCGATCCCCCGCAACCCCACCACCGCTGCCGCCATTCACAGCACCGCAAACTCAGCACTCCACACCGCGCCCGCTCTCCTCCGCATGGCAAACTCAAAGTGCCACTCCTCCCCCCCCCCCCCCTCTCCTCCTTACTCACTAACACTCCCCACGTAGGTTTGAGTACGTCCGCGCCTTCGAGCGCCCCGACCCCCTCCTCCCCAACACCTTCATCGTCATCCGCCTCGACGGCCGCTCCTTCCACTCCTTCAGCGCCCGCCATGCCTTCACAAAACCCAACGACATCCGCGCCCTCCACCTCATGAACGAGGCCGCCGCCGCCGTCGTCCGCGACCTCCCCGACATCGCGATAGCCTACGGCGTGTCAGACGAGTTCTCGTTCGTCCTTCGTCGCGAAACACAGCTGTTTGAGCGCAGAGAGGCAAAGCTGGTCACTACGGTGTGTAGTAGTTTTACGAGCTGGTATATGTTTTTGTGGCCGCAGTTCTTTCCAGAGACGCCGTTGGTGCCACCGTTGCCGTCGTTTGATGGCCGCGCGGTGTGTTATCCTACGCTCGGGAATGTGAGGGATTATTTGAGCTGGAGACAGGCGGATTGTAGGTTTTATTTTGCTTTGGGGTGAGGTAGGAGGGAGGAAGGAGAGAGGGCTGATTGTAGAGGTGTAGGTCATATTAACAACCTCTACAACACTACGTTCTGGGCGCTCGTGCAGCAGGGCGGAATGACGACGCAGGAGGCTGAGGAAGAACTCAAGGCATCACTCCCCCATACCATACAATACACACATCTTCTCTACTAACAAACCCACAGGGCACCTTCGCGAAAGACAAGAACGAGATCCTGTTCTCGCGCTTCAAGATCAACTACAACAACGAGCCCGAATTCTTCAAGAAAGGTAGCGTCATTTTTAGGGACTATACCGACGTTCTGCCCTCTCCTCCTCCCGCTTCCTCTTCCCCCGCCGCTACCACCACCACCACTGCCGAGGCACATGAGACAGCGACCACGGCGGTGCCAAGGGAAAAGTCAAAGACGCAGATCGAGAAGGAGAAGAAGCGCACGAAGAAGGCGCAGGTGGTGGTGGAGCATGTGGATATCATCCAGGATGTGTTTTGGGAGAAGAGGCCGTGGATACTGGGGGATCGATGACCGCCTGGGGGTTGTGGTGGGAGGGGATCAAATACTAGATTGGGGTGGGTAACAAAAGTTTATAGAGTTTATTGAATCACTTTCTTGAAGGCGTTTCAGCAGTGCGGGATAATGTTCTATTGATTCTATCTTCGTCTACAAAGTAAAGTATGCGGTGCGGGTATCATTCAAATACCAATGCCAATGTCTAACCTATCCATGTCTCAAACAGCAAGAGAATCACCTCTACTTCTTTATAAACTCCGGCGACAGCTGGTCCACAATATTGTTCTTATCCTCCCACGCAAGTTTCACATACCTTCGCACTCGTTAGCATTTCCTCACTATTATACACATCTAGGGCTGGGTAAGACTTACTTTGTATGACTCCCCCTCGCAAACACTTCTTCCTTCTCATTCCAGAACTTGATATTCGTGAACGCCAACGTCTTGCCAACTATCCCACCCCATCTCCTCTTCAGCTTCAAACCAAAACCAAAACCAACCAGCTAGTGGAGAAAGAGGAGACTTACATTTATCACACGTCACTTCCGCCCTCACCCTATTCCCCACCGGCCCACCAGACGCCAAATACGTGACTACCACAACCTTAGCTCTCCATCCAACCCAACATAACCCGTCCAACCCAACCCACAGGGGGAACCAGGGGGGTATACCATTAATATCCGTACTCACCCCCGTCGAATACAACCCCTTTGATGCCACGGCGAGCGAGCCGCCCAGGTCAACCATCGATGCGATAGTCCCACCGTGCAGGATTCCAAGTCTGTTCTTCACTGGGTGTGAGAGTCGCATTTACCCTACAAAAGGAAGGGGGGGGGGGGGTGGTACGGTGTGCTGTTTTTCAACGTTGAGCTCGAAGGAGACTTTTCCGGGTTCGGCGTGGGTGAGTTTTAGCTGTTTGTGTGAGGGTCAATGATCGTTGTGCTGGTATTGTAGAGGGAGGGGTGGGAGGGGTACGTTTTGGAGAAGTCTAGGTGGGTTGTTAGTAAGAGTACTCAATGGCTTTGGCTTTGAGTTTGGATAGAGGAGTTTGAGAGGGGGGTGTAGTTACCGTGGCTCTAATCCACTCGATTCAAGAAACGACATCCAGACCTATATATCAATCATTACCGGCGCGATAACGATAAGCAATTGTGCCCCCTCCCAAAATCCTCAAAAAAGACGATAAATCAAGAAGAAAACTAACAGAGCGGACAAACTTTAGCGCCGGTGTTGCAGCCATTGATCTTTTTTGTCGCAAAACTCAAAGCTTAAGTGGAGTTGAACGTGAAAGTATATACTCAAATTTAGGAAACGGGAGCTCTCCCGGCGAAACCTCGCATCCCCGGGTAACCGAGGTTGACATACACCAGGCACTAACCGCATGAATAAACGACTTGCTCGGAGAAAAGCAGTTACCCTACCTGCACGGGGAATGGTTTGCCTAGGTGTGAATAAACCAGTTACCCTGCCCTCGTTACCCTGCCCTAGCTCCCGGCCTGTCAATGACGGAATCGCATTCTTTTTTTTAAGCCTCAATTGCTCAATTAAACCGATCTCAGCATCTATCAACCCGCCGCAATGCTGTCCCGTGTCGGTGCGGCCAAGCGGTTTCTGCAGGCCGCGAGGAGCAACAAACATCTGAACGCCTTCATCTCGCTCAAGCCCGAGGAGACGCTTCTTGCGGAAGCTGCGTCTGTGGACTCCCGGTTGGGGACTTGTGAGTTGTTTCCCAGCAGAGCTCTACAAGATGCATGTTTGTGATAGTAAAGTAATATAATTGAATGTTCTTAGTGCAAAAGTCAGAACATAGCAGCATCGATGGCCGCATCATTGCCGTCAAGGACAATATCTGCACCACCGACCTCCCCACGACCTGCGCTTCAGAGATGCTACGAGGTTAGTCCAACTGCAATTGGCCCTGCGCAAGAGAGAAAGAAGAAAGACCGAGACTGAAGACCAGGCCCACACGGAACGCAGGCTACGTCTCACCCTACGAAGCCACGGTCGTCCAGAACCTGAAGCGCGCCGGCGCAATCATCATGGGCAAGACCAACATGGACGAGTTCGGCATGGGGTAAGTTCTCGTGCACCAACCTCAATCCCCCGCCTTGATAATATAGCTTCCGGATCTGATGCAGGGATAAGTAGATAACAAAGAAGCTCCCCTACAGATCCCACTCCATCTACTCCGCCTTCGGCGCCGTGGTTGGTCCCTCGCCGCCGGAGAGCCAGCATCCGAGATCGGCGGGCGGAAGCTCGGGCGGGAGTGCGGTCGCTGTGGCTATGGGCATGTGTGATGCGTATGCAGCCCCCCCCCCCCCCCTCTGCTTCCTTCTAGAGGGAATTGTAAGTTGAGATGCGGCGAACAGTGCGTTAGGAACAGATACCGGTGGATCAGTGCGGCTGCCTGCGTCGTACTGCGGGGTGGTGGGCTTCAAGCCATCGTACGGCATGCTCTCCCGGCTGGGGGTTGTGGCCTATGCAAACTCGCTGGACACCGTGGGGATCCTGGGGAAGGACGTGGAGAGCGTGAAGAATGTTTTCGGTATGTGAAGGCCCGATATCAAGGCTCTGGAGCTGTGTTTTTAACTCAAAGCGCTGCAGATGAGATCAACGAGCACGATCCCCGCGACCCCACCAGCCTTTCCGCCGAGACCCGCAAACGCCTGCGCGAGAATCTGTCGGAATCAAGCTACAGCAAAGAGTCTTTACGCATAGGAATCCCAGCGGTTTGTAGCACAATTGCTCGATAGATATACCGCTCCTTACTGATTCTCATACCAGGAATACAACGTCCACGAACTCACCCCCGCCGTGCGCGAAGCCTGGGAAACGGTCGCCCAAAAGCTCCTCTCGCTCGGCCACCAAATCACCAACATCTCCCTCCCGCACACCAAGCACTCCCTCTCCTCCTACTACGTCCTCGCGCCCGCCGAGGCCTCCTCCAACCTCGCCAAATACGACGGCGTGCGCTACGGCCACCGCTCCGACGCCGACCGCAGCACCCCCCCCGACAACATCCTCTTCGCACCCACCCGCCACACCGGCTTCGGCGCCGAGGTGCGCCGCCGCATCCTCATGGGCGCATACGCGCTCAGCTCCGAGGCCAAGGAAAACTACTTCATCCAGGCGCAGAAGGTGCGCGCGCTCGTGCAGAGGGACTTTGACCAGGCCTTTGTGCAGCCGAATTGGCTCAAGTGCGGCAAGGACAAGCGGGGGCCACCCGGGGGTGGCGGTCGCGTAGACGTGATTCTTGCGCCGTGCGCGCTGTCGACGGCGCCGTTGTTGAGCGATGTGAGGGGGCAGGCGTCGCCGCTGGATGCGTATGTGAATGATGTGTTGACGGTGCCGGCGAGCCTTGCGGGGGTGCCGGCGGTGAGTGTGCCGGTGTTTGTGGAGAGTGGGCAGAATCAGCAGAGGCGGCCGATTGGGATGCAGATTATGGCGCAGTTTGGGGATGAGAAGGTGTTGTGGGAGGCAGCGAAGATCTTGGAGGGGTTGGGGACTATCAAGGCCTAGGTACATGTAGGTAGGCAAGTACTTGGTAGGCGTAGGTTCTAATTAGACGGAAATGCAAGTAGAGGATTAGAAACAAGATCTTGTTGTTTTGAAGGCCCACTACTAGCCATTATTATTCGTGGTATATTTTATACTATTTGTGCCAATATGTACTCATATATATATTTCCATACGTCCTTGCCAACCCCCACCACGAATCATATGGGGTTGACTTGAGTCTAGGTTGAGGAAAAGATGGCACAAGAGGGAAAGAAGAAGGTCTCATAGTGTAGATGAGTTATGGAGAGCTGCCGTTGAGGAGTGGGAAGATATTCCCCAAGAGACCTTTGATGCCTAGCTGGGTTGATAGTATGTCAAAAAGGGTGGATCAGTTTTATAAAGCAAATAGGGGTCACACAACATGATAGTTGTTTTATATTTCATAGCTTTACTATCTACTTATGCTATATTTTTAATTTCATGTCTATTCGATCTGTGGTTGTTGAGGTATTCGCATTTTTATACTGGGTCGTGGTCTAGACACGGGTGTACTGTACGTCGATTCGACACCCCCCCATCAGCGAGTCTACACGGCGTAGTGATCCCCCATTTCGAGGACAAGAGAAAAAGAAGAAAAAAAGGTTGGAGGCGCGGGGAATCGAACCCCGGACCGCTTCTATGCTAAAGAAGCATTATACCACTAAACCACGCCCCCATGTTTATAAATACAAAACGTTTCACATTTATCACGACTGTAGTAAGCTTATGGCGAGGGATAGATCTGTCCTCACTTATGTATGCAGAAATTCTAGTAGTCCTGCTGATATCGACATCGTCCCCATAGTTTGGTCTTGCCGTAGCCATTGGAACACGCACTGCCTTACTGCTGAGCACTTATGATCATTTGAGATCCAACTTAAGCGTCGTCTCCTAGTATCAATGAAAAATGCAGGGGCTTGGCCTACAAAGTACAGTAGGCGTACATATTTCTCAGTTCCGGCACCCAGTATACTTTCATTGCATATTACTGAGCATGGGAGCTGTAAAGAGTCTTTTCAGCGGCAAGTGGAAATGATAATATCACCAACAATCATTTACAAGCAAACCTTTTTGAGAGCATTTGACTAACAAATACCGCATGTGCAAGTTTTCAAGCCTTCAATACTCTATCTTGATTGCGCCAATAGTCTTTTGGCGGAATCCGGGAATTTTTCTAGACACAGGTGTACTTGTATGGCGGGTGGGTCACCCTCTATACATACTCTCGCCTTGTTCGGCGTTCCCCATCCTCGGCATACCCCACCAGCGAGTCTTATACTCACACTCATATTCCAAATGCAATTGGAAGTTACCTGTATCTAGCCATAGACGAGCCATCAACAAGAGCACTATAAAATATAAACGAGTGATGACCCATGATCCTATTTATCGATCAACAGACCTACCTTGACATTGAACAGATATATCGATTCCGGTCCATATTTTGAACTGTGATTTCACACGGAGTTTGTCGTTTGTCATTCGTGGTATAATTTACATGCTCCCGCACCTTCTGATCGAAGCCCTACTACTCTTCTTTAAAGACGAACACCTGCTTTTTCCCGCCAAATGCCTGTCCACTACGTGCAACGGCCTCTTTTAATACTTCCACCTTTGTGGTGGGCGTCCAGATAGTCTCCTGCACGGGCGTGTCCTTGAATTCGCCCGACGTGATATATCCGAATATCTCTTCCACCATGGCCTGTTTCTCCTCTGGGTGCTTGTCGGACCAGGCTGAGACCCAGAAGCCGTGCAGGTGGAGGTCTTTGAATATGAAGAGAGACGTGGGGACGGTGATAGGCTGGCGGGACATGCCGCCGTAGGTTACGAGATGGCCTCCGTGCCTGTGGGGGTGGTGATATCAGTAAAATTGGGGCACTGAAGAAGGGGAATAAATCCTACCCTAGTTGCCGGAGGAGATCTGTTGTTGCTTTTCCGCCAACGCAGTTCAATCCAAGTTTTATACCCTTCTTTCCAGCGAGTGCCTTGACTTCTTGCATCTTATTCCGGTCCGCAAGCTCTGATTCTGTCACCACCACGTCTGCGCCTAGCTCTTCAAGCTCCTTCTTGAGCTCGTCGGCATTGTCCCTATCTCTGATAACATTGACGCTCTTCAACCCCCACAATCTCCCAAACTGGATTGCGCTCCTTCCCACACCAGAGTTTGCGCCGTTCTGGATGAACCAGTCGCCCTTCTCCAGCGGTGTAAAGTCCTTCAGCATGCGGTAGGCCGTGCACGGGTTCACTGAGACGGTCGCAGCCTGGATGGATGTGATTGCTTTGTCGTCCGGGATCTTCAGCAGGTTGGAGGATTTGGCGGAGGCGTGGGTGCGCCAGGTTCCGAAGCCTACGCTGCGCATGATTGCGCGGTCGCCGGGCTTGAAGTCGTCCACTTTGGCGCCGACGGCGACGACTTCGACGACGCCTTCGTTGCCGCCGACGGCGGAGGGTTCGGGGGTGCCGAGGGCGGTGGTTAGTGGGGGTTTGGAGGGGTAGACGCCTTCAATCTGGCGGGGGTGTTAGTGTGGGAGGGTCAATCATAAGAAATATATTGCTAGGGATTTCCAAACTTGGTTGATATCTGCTGGGTTGATTGGAGAGGCCAGGAACTTGACGGTGATTTCATCGTTGTAGGCTGGAGCTATGGAGTATGAGTGTAGGCTTCATAACGACGACGGTCATCCGGCGTCAGCAACATGTTTCATGAATTGACTGGTGTTTTCGAACGGCGGGTGGTGGCGGCGGGATACCTTAGGACGTCTTGAGGCCGGCCGTATTTTGAGTATACGAGGGCTTTTGCCTGCGTGTAGCCAAATGCTGAGACGTAGCGTTTGGACAGAAAGCATGGAGTAGGGCTGCGGCGCAGAGATGCGAGCAGGGTGCGCTTCATTGTGCAGTTCATCGTTTCAGCTCACTCGAGTGAATAGAATATTGGGTGTTTCTGGGATGAAATGAATGGGAGAATGTTTGCGAATGGAGGGCAGATATCTCCAGAGTTGGTGGTAGATAACTGATATATATTTATCTTATCGGAAGGAAGGAACTGGACTGGACCTCGGGTCCTAACCAGCGACGTCATGGATGATTGGCGAATTCCCCAGAGTTCTGTAAACTAAACATGCAATCCCTGGCAATATAATTCCCCTCTTCTAGCGCATTCGCTGTCAATCTCTCTCTTTTCTCTCTCGCTTTGTCTTTCACCCTCAGCGCTGCTCCTTTCCCGTCTTTACTTGCAACTGCTCACCCTCTCGTTATATATCTCATCATGTACCGACGATCTTCTCGTGTTCCAGAGGACGATGAAATCTCCCTCATCTCCATGCAGGAGCTCGCCCCTTCACCTATTGAAGACGACGAGGCAGACTACTACTACAATGCAGAGCAGCTATCTGTGAATCCTGTAGAGAGGAAGGCTACCGACCTTTCCTCTTCCAATTACTCCAATTACTCACAAACTTCGTCCAATCTGACCTTCTGGTGTAAGTTCTTGAGGCAGAAAGAAAAAATCTCGTTTTCATTAGCGCCGGATTACACTCTACTAACTGTCTGCTCTACTGGCAGTGGCACGATCACAAAAATACTCGTCCTACGCATTCAGCGCCTTCCTCGGTCTCCATGCGACAACAGTCTCCTTGACACCCCTCTTCCTCGGCCTCGACGCTGGAAATTCCTCTCTTCTCCTTGCGCGCACCTACTTCTACCAGTCGCACCCAATTGTCGAATCAATACTCATTCCCGGGTCGCTGCTCCTGCACGTTGGGTCCGGGCTGGGGCTGCGGGCATACAGACACTACCAGCAGAGGCAACGTTACGGCGGGAGTCCCCCACCGGCAGTGTCGCAATGGCGTCTGAGGAACTTCTCGGGTATCAGTCTGGCGGGATGGGCCATGCTACCGTTTGTAGCGGCGCACACAGGACTGCTGAGGGTTGTGCCTTTGTGGGTTGATGGTGGGAGTAGCGATATCACGTTGGAGTACCTGGGACATGGGTTCAGTATTGGAAGGTGGGGGAAATGGATTGGCACCGGGTTCTACACGGTGATGGTTGGGCTGGTGTCCTACCATGTCGTTTTCGGTGAGCAGCCTTTGGAATGGAAAGTAAATCATTTGTGCAAAGTTAACTAACTGAGGGGCAGGTTGGGCAAAATACCTAAAAATCGACAAGCGGCGGCGCATAACAGGTGCTACAGCTGTAGCAGTAGCTGGCACATGGCTTTCAGGGCTTTTTGTTATTGCCAAGTCGGGGCCGGTGAGAGGATACCTAGGAAAGCATTACGACCATCTTTACAATGTCTTTTTCATGAGAGCAGTATAAAAGTTTTACGGGGGCATGTAATATGAATTGAAAGCATGGAAATGGGATGAAAAGTGCAGCGTTTTGCGAGGCGCAAATTATTTGATAAATAGTCTAGATAGTACATATTACACGCTAGCGAAAGTTATTGGTACGATTACAGCGGCGGAATCGAGTAATGATACCAAAGCTGTTAAATACAGGCTTTTCTCCAGCTTCTCTCAGTCCGTAGGCTTCGCTGGATCGTATCTTTCGTACCCTTCATCCTCCGTATCACTCTCCTCCGCCGCCGCCGCTGCTGCTCCTGCCACCTTTTGCTCCTCTGGGGCCGCAAATGCCTTCTTGAACCCACCGATTGATGCGGCCGGCACAACCTTCTTTTCCTCTTCGTTCCCAAACGCGCTCTTGAACCCGCCCTTCTTGAACCCGCCAGCTTTCTTTTCATCCGCGGCGAGCTTGAGAGGCTTGATTGTGATGACTCCAGCTTTCTCGTCCTGCCGGCGCTCACGCTCCCGGCGCTTCTCGGCCGTGGAAGGGTCGCGCTGCATAGCTTTCATCTCCTGGAACCGCTTCTTGTGCTGATGGTCGTAGGAGTTCTCGTGAGCTTCGAACTCGTTCATGCGGGAGTAACCCTTTGAGCATAGTTCGCCTAGAGGACGCGGACTTTTAGATATATTGTACTAATTTTTGTTTTGCCAATTGGGTATAGAGGGAGGAGGGTACAGTAGAATGATTTCCGGGCCTGGACTGCGCTCTCTGTTTTCGGGGGTGGTATTCCACCGCTGGTACGGCCACCGCCCTGAGGCTGTTAGCATGGCAGTTGGGACGATGGGAGGTGAAGTACCTCGCCAGTTAGTCGTGACATTATTGCTTGAGGGTATTAATGTATCTGCGTGTATGCCGAGAGATACCTAGGATTCCGGAGGTGATAGAAGCTCTGTAGGGGATCAGATCAAGCAATTGTGTGTATCGCAAAGAGAGGGGGGGGGGGGGGGGATCCCCAGGCTGAGAAGAGGAGAGCCGCACTGCACTGCACAGCATCTGCACGTCGAAAGACCCCCCGTCCTTTCTATTGGGCGTAATCTTGGCAGACGCACACAAAGAAGGCGAGTGACTCCGCTTTTTTCTGACTACGACGGGATGATTGCCACCAACGTCCACCACCAGCCCCACTACAACCAACCTCCATCTACCTCCATCGCATCCCCCCAGACACAGGAAAGAAAAAAAAATTCTAGGAACCTCTATTTCACATAATTAATCATGCCTGACACCTCGTAAGCTTTCACTCTCCGATTAAAAAAATTAGGGAAAAAAAAAAAGGAAGAAAAAAAAATTCCTCTCCAGCATCAGCCTCTAACCCCCGAAACAGAAGAGCCAACTGGGCCGACGATGAAGAGTTCGATGACCCAACAGTCCTCCCCCCTCAACAAGTCCTGTCAAACCCTGACGGCACAAAGACAATAATTACCTTCCGCTTCAACGACGCCGGCAAGAAGATCAAAACCACACGCAAGATCCGCACCACAGTCGTCAAGGAACACGTCAACCCACGAGTCGCAGAACGCAAGGAATGGCCCAAATTCGGCGCCGAGAAGGGCCACCCCCGCGGCCCAGATCTCTCCACAACCTCTGTGGGTGAGAACATCGTTTTCCGCCCCTCATCAAACTGGAAGAGCTCGAATAAGGAGGAGAACAAGGAGGAGGACAGCCTGAGGGATCAGCTGAAGGATAAGAAGGTTGCCTGTCGTATCTGTAAGGGCGACCATTTCACGGCCCGCTGTCCGTTCAAGGACACTCTTCCGCCTCTCGACGACGTTGCTGCGTCTAGTGCTGGTGCGGGTGATAGCGGCAATGCGGCTGAGGATGTTGGTGGCTTGGGAATGACAAAGGGAAGCTATGTCGCTCCTCATCTGCGTGGAAAGAAGGGTGCTGGAGAGACTATGGGTGGTGGAAACTTCAAGGACAGAGACGACCTTGCAACCCTTAGGGTTACAAACGTGTCTGAATTTGCGGAGGAGAACGACCTGAGGGGTATGTTTGAGCGTTTCGGAAGGGTCACGAGGGTATTCTTGGCCAAGGACAGAGAAACCGGAAGGGCAAAGGGCTTCGCATTCATCTCTTTTGCGGACAGGAGTGATGCGGCGAGGGCGTGCGAGAAGATGGATGGATGTGAGTATCTTTTGCATCTTACCACTTTTCTATCAGATACTGATAGAGAATCTAGTTGGTTACGGGCACTTGATCTTGAGGGTCGAATTCGCCAAGAAGTCGGCTTAAATCTAACAAAACTTTTTTCTGCGTTTCTTTTTTTCGCACCCCCCTTTTACGGATAATTTTAGGTCCAAAAAAATATCCAAAATACTCAAAAGTTTTCTCCTAGTTGCTCCTTTTTTCTCTTCCTTATCTCTTGCAAAAACAAGCACGGATGTCAAATTACAACCCCTGCACTTTAATTGCTGTTGGTTGCGCCGAAGATGTGCTGAGATTGAATATGCGATTGCTCGGTGACGAGGACCAATCCTGGAACGTGGCTCTCAGTGTCTAGTCGCGGGATTGGTAAAGCATGATATTTTTATTTTCGTCTCTTCTATTCTCTCATGAGTTGGTTTCTTGAAACCGTGAAGAACTGTTCCATAATAATGTCAATTCCACTGAGGTTGGGGAGTCAGCAGTAAGCAAGGCGGATTTTATATCATAATCAAGGTATGGAGTCAGGTCAGCTAAGGGCTGTCCCTTGTTTTTCAGTCAGAAACTTAGAAATCCGGTGAATAAAGAAAGATTTTCCAATGCCTAGCTGTCCTATAACCTAAAAATTCTTTATCAGCCGGAAATCTACTTGTCCCATCTACTTCGCACTGTCAATAGTCGAGCGTGTCCCAATGACAGTGGAAATGACAGTATTTTGGGCCGAGCAATCCCTGTGTTTTGTCCAAGTCCAGGGACGAGTGAGTCTTGGTGATTACAAGTTAAATCTTTGATCTCCAATTCTCCATGGTCTAACCAAATTGTACGAGTGAGTCGAGCCGGTTACAGTTTAACCACTAATAGCTACAAATTCTACAATTCCATACCCACCCCATCCAAAGAGACATGATTAAACACTTAAAATTGAAGGAAGTCCGAGTGTCTATGTCTCGAACCTGTCCTTGGCTGAATATTGAACTTGTCGTTCCGAACCCACCAAGGTAGGTATCTGTCCTTCTTGTGACGAATATTTTAAAAAGTTCTTTTCCATATATTCAGAAGGCTGGAAATTGAAAAAGAATGGAGACGCGGGGAATCGAACCCCGGACCGCTTCTATGCTAAAGAAGCATTATACCACTAAACCACATCCCCTTTGAACAATGAGCGAATTTAATGTTTCCCGAACACGATATGTTTACATTAGATCATGATAAGGTAATGAACTAGCGATCGATCCTCATTTTAGCCGGAAATCTCGCTTTAACCGCGCACTCCTCCACAAAATGGCTCCCAGAAAGTCCATACGCAGAAGATATATTCGCCAAGGGTCCCGTGAAGATATCGGAAGGTCATCTTTATGTCTTAACCGACGGCTTTGCTACATGGATCTGTTCAATCGGTCCGATCCCGCCCGATTCCCCGGTCCGCCGGGGCCGGAATAGATCTCACAATCCTTGCCCAAGATCGTTTATCAAAATCGGCCGATTCAAGTTACACCAGAAGTTGCGTTGAGGAAAAACTACTTAAGATGGTTGGTTCTTGTTTGTTGGTTTGTTTTGTGATATCGTTGTGTGAAGCTCGATTGGAAAGGGAGCGAGTGAGTTTTGGTGACGCTGAAGATGATAAAGGTAAGCAAAAAACTTATCGCAGGTTAACAAAATATTCGAAGGAGACAAAATGATTGCAATATTTGAGCCAGTGACTTTTCGGTTTGAGATTTAGTCACTTGGCAAATCATGGCACTCGACTGACGGCTTGCGCTTCAGATACCTGACGATCCAGTCATTCCTGTTTATTTGGATTTCAACGCCCTAATACACCATCACGACTATATCCTTAACTTTGTATACCTAAATAACTAAATATCGCATAATATCGGGGAAACCGTGGCCATGTCAGTTCTTCGCGCGACACAATTCGTTACTAATCATGACGTCGGTCCATCAACTCGCTCCTTGACTACCAGGCCTCGGAAAGTCGTACAGCTTCGGGATCTCCTGGTAGTCTATCCGATTGTTGTGTCCATCGCCAAAAGTCTTAATTTGAAAGAGCTGATTTCTCTGACATTGACCGACAAGAGTTGTTTCGCTTTCCTACGTGGTGGGGATTGGGGTGATGACTTGCGTCATTGGAACAACCTGAAGTCAAATTGCAATGAGATTTGTGAATTTAACTCCACACACGAATATCTTCCTCCTGTAAAGGACATTAAGGCGTGCCACAAATGCAGGTACGGTGTCTGCAATGTAAGTATCCTAGCTACTCACTTCTTTAGGCTTCGATAGGTATTTAATTGATAGCTAATATTTGTTAATATACAGCACTGTGTGGGGCCAGTAGGACATCTTGGGAACCCTCGCCGTCAGATATGCCCTAGCTGCGTTGAGAAACGCTTGGCTTCCCATAGCAGATATATGAACAAACCAGAACTCCCAAATTGCTCGTGCGCAGGCGCCGAGCCATGGCTGTGTCAAATGTGTTGGAAAGAGAACTACTTTTCCACCTTTCAAGAATCTGCGGGTACATGCTGCGATTGCGATTGCAAGTTCGTTGTTGGGTCGAAAACCGATTTCGTCTGCAAATGGTGTAGAGGGAAGATGTTGTAACTCGGCAGTTCTTTTGAGGAGGTTGGATGTATCGACGATCTACCTGTGATGCTGCTGAAGTGATGTAAGAGTTATTACTGTGTTTTGATACGTGTTCTTTTGTTGATTTGTTTATTGTAAATTTTGGCACGGGTGTTTGGAGTGGTACAATCTGTTGTCCTATTCTTTCTTTTCTTTCCTTTCCTTTTTCATGTCTATAATATATTACTACATATCTTTCCATTCTAAATATAACTATCCGACCAGGTATTTCTGCCTCTACAAACGTCAGTTCATCTGATGAGCTGGGGCATCATGTACATGTACATGCATGCGCAGATATGCCGTTGTACTACATGTGCATTTATTGTAGACATTCAGGCTTTGGAAAACTAAAAGAACGATATACACACATTTTCCGGCTCAATCGTAAGAAAGCTGGATAAAGAATCGTCTAGGCACGTTCCCTCTCTCGATCGTTGGACGTTGCTCCACATTGTGGTACGGGGCGGGACAAAGCTCAAGTACATGTATGTATCACCGGTAGTTTGTGCACTGTCAGGATCAATCACCAAAGATCACTCACTAGGGTAATAGCCCTTGGTATTCCTGGCGGTAACATCCATGAGTAACGCACTTACACATTTCTGTTTCTGAGAATGTTGCAGCAAAATTGAAACCTAACCACCCCTCGCCGGAAGATCACCCCTGATGGAACTGTGAGGTAACTCTACGGCCATCACGCATCAGTTCTTCAGGAATCGTTCGCTATTTCGACTCACACAAAGCACAACTCTTCCCGTTATCTATGGATTGTTGGATGACTCTCATTAAAGTCCATACACCCGTCCCTCTCCCCCTGGCCATGGCTTATGTCTCGATACTACCTATGATCCGTTTCAATTTGAATTTCTTTAGTTTTATCAATCGTCTTAATGGCTGAAGTAAAGACATCTTAAGTCCCGGGTTCAAAAAATTAACAATATGCACTTTTGCTGGCGGCCCGGGCCGCACCCTGCATGTATGTACACATGTACCAAGTACTTATGTAGATACAACTGTACAGCGAAAAACGTACGTACTTTGGTGTGACAATTTCGAGCAATATATTAACTGCAGAGTCCCTAGAGTGTGCCTCCACAAGTCTTGTTGGCCCAAAGTCGCGCCTTAGTCTCTATCCCGATGGGTTTATAACAGTGCAAAGGGATGGGTTGAAGGTTTGAAAGACCCGGCATAATGGAGGTGGTCACCGGAACGCCATACTAAAGAAGAGTCGGCAAGAAAGGAGGGTTTCGAGTCCTATCTAGCTACAAACCCCAAGCAGGTATCAGCGGATCATGGCTCACCCCCACGAACTCTCCGAGTATGGTGGTTTTCCTAAGGAGTGCAGCATGAATCATTATGCCATGGAACAGATGCGGGGACCCGATAGACCGTTCATTCAATTCCTGGTTCTAGTTGACAACCGGGTAAGCCCGGTATTAGACCTCGTGATCAGCGACAGGTTTCCAACTTTCGGGCTCAATAATCGCCTTACTTCCCATGATCTATTCGTGAAGAAGGGCAGCCTTTCATAGACCTATAATACCGCTCATATGCCTGATCTTTCAGCACAATTTACACAAAGGGGCCAAACGATATGTTTGCATCCTACATTGACTAGCACCATGTTGCGCTCCTCCTCGTCAACCCTAGTCACCACCATATTGGACCCGATTCTTGTATCACTTATACAACGTAACGGAAGATTCTATAACTAAAAAAATATATGGAATACGAGAGTTCTTTAACAATATCAAAGAGTTCCGATGTACAGAAAACCCTGCTTATCATACGATATCACTTCAAACGATGTTTACACAGGATCAATTGGAGGAACTTGATCAAGCATTTGCAAGTACCCTCATCCCGACGGGTGCGAAGCGACCAACGGGGTGGAATTGCCAGACATGGACCAGAGATGCAGTGTTAAACATGGGGTTGCTTACGCTCTTGACGGACCGGAAGGTGGGTTGCAAATGATGGAGTTGATCGAATAGGTGGCAGATCAGATGCAACATGAGACTGCCGGTGTTGTTGGCAAAATACCTTTTATGGATGGTCACAAATATAGATATGTTCGAGTTCCTAAGCGGTCATACGTTTCTTTTCCAGGCATGTCGATGTGTTATTTGAATCACAGAGAATCGAACGTGAACGGGACCTATGCAGAACGGTACGGCGTGCAAGTAATCACAGATATTTTTACTCTTCGGTCTTTACCTCGCCAACTTGATCCATAACTGCATATTTCTATATATGCGGTGGATTGGAAACCGATCTCCATGAATTTAGAGAAAATCCCGGTTCCCATAGGTGGTACACTGTGTGTACACGTACAGTTTATACCTGAAAATGAAACTGTAAGATATTCTGTGTGCTGGTTTAGTTTGACATATGCGCTATTTCCCATTCTTTCTTCTAATTAGACAGACATGCAAAAAAACGGGGTGAAATTAGTAGAACACCATCGGAACATTATAAAAACGTTATGTTTAGAAATCTCCGCTATTCCAACTACATAGCTATGATAATCTTGTAGTGCATCTTTTTTACTCTAAGTACATGTAGCTGCAAGCGGTACATGTAATTCAAGCGGGCGTTAAGGTACAGTGACGCGAGTGCAAGTATGATGTAGTAATGTATATATATATATGGTATACGTGAGAACGTAATATGATGTGCTTGTAACTAAACATAATCAGAATATTCGCTAGATCATTGTAAATCGCTATGTGCATATTGCCTTTATATACTCTAGAGACGTTCATGTAGCCATGCTTGTACCTATAATAAGTGTGGCTGCTAGAAGGTATGTACTCTAGGTTGTAGTCACACGTGGCAAGTGCACGAGTGATTGGGTGTGATTCACATTCATCACCTCGAGTAAATGACACCTGGCTTGGCAACAATGTCTTCAGCTCTTGATGTCATTCTTGAACATAGCATCATTAAACACCAGAACACGACAAAATGTCCTCTCGATCTACATCTACGCTTCCGAGAGTCCCCGGAGATATTACTTACCTACCGGTTAAGGGAAAATCACTAGATCTAATAACAGAGGAGCAACTATTCGAGCGAACTGAGCTAGGCATGATATTTGCCAAACCCCCCTACAGTGAATTAACTAGTGAACATGGGTTTCAGGCCGTACTTGAAACCCCTTTCGTTCCTCTCCCCGGTGTTGAATTTTCTGGTCCGGCAGTTCAAAGTCACGACCAAGACAATGAAGTCTTCAATTATCTCCGTTTCAAGCATCTCAAGGAGTCAAGGGAGAAAAACGTAGATGGCGAATTGAGAAACGTTCGCTGTCTTCTTGATTGGTCTACAGACGTATCTATTGCTCTGGAATCAGCCGTTGGGAACAATCCCGGGACAATGGAATCTATAGAGATCGGGGTTTTAACTCTTGGGGAATTTCTATTAGATGAAAAAAAGCTTTTTGTTGGTGTCCAGATTATCAAACTTCATATACATGGACGCCCATACATACAAACTGTAAAGGTTGTCAAGGAGCTTTTCCCCGGTCATCAAGATATTAATATCGACATTGTCTTGGGTAAAGACTTTTTGGATGCCTGCCCCGGGCTTGCCTTACAGCCAGTGCTATCTGGAGGCTCACTTGAATTTGTTCCGTGGGATCATCGTGGCCAGGAAATTAATCCCTATAAAAGCTCATTTACCGTCAACGAACTAGGCGAACTGTTGGTGTACGTTTGTGGCCGCTCAGAGAAAGAAACCTCTAACCCGCATGCACGCGCTGTAGAGGATCCTGGGGTATTCCTGGAAGAGAGGGGAGCATATGGCGTCTTTTTTGGGCCAAATTCTCCTTGGAATATGTCTTTAATTTCAACAATAAGAGGCACTCCAGTCAATGACACAGCGTTGATAGAAGGCGTAATAGCTGTATCAGATCTCTTGATAGATGGAGGGTTTATCTTCGGGAACCCTACCTTTTCTTCTGTCAGAGTTTTTACAGATTCTTCATTGGTTGTCGAATTACTAAATTCGGATACGAAAATTGAGGAATATGAAAAAAAGGGGTGGAAAAACAAGGCAGGGGTTCAATTAGGCATTGCTGAGCCTGTGTCGAAGTGGGCTCATTCGATTCGCGATCGATACAAATCAGTCTGCCATATTCCATGGGTGAAAAAAGATCTTTTCATCTTTGAAAGGATTGACAAAAAACGAAAAGGGCTTCAGGCTGCCCGTCACCTGGCCTCATCTGGTCTGAAAGCAGAGTTATATCTGTGTGATAAAGATCTTGGTGACGTTCGAAATTCTAATAGAGATATAGCTGGTTGGGAGGAGCTGAGATCTTCTGATTTTCTATACATGATCGCTCCCAGAGTCACCTGTGGTACATTTATGATCAAACAAAAAATAACCGACTTTGTTGACAGCCGTATTCAAGCAAATGCAAAGGTTCCTCAAGAAGATGTGGAGGCGCATCCTAAGCCACACTCCATACAAAAGTTTTTTGCAAGTTACTTTCGGCCTGAGGACTCTTATGACTTTGACTCAATTATCTTCAACCTTACAGCCTACCGTAAATTCAATGCCATGAAGATTCTTGAGGCTTTGGATAGCTCATTTACGAAAGAGGTTGTGAGAATTGCAAAAGAAAAGAGAAGATTACCGGATTCTCTTGAATTTTTTAAAGAAGATGACGGGAAGATTCATTTCTTTCATAGGGATCCAGACGTATTTTCACGAAAGCCGTATCAAGAGTCTGTTTTGATAGATATTCTCATGGGCGATTACTCCTCCATAAAGAATACCGCAGCATTTAAAACGCAGAACGTAGAAAGTTGAAGGATATCAAGGGTGCGTATTCTGATGCCCTAGCCGACGGTAGAAATACGAACGAGAAAGCTAAAGCATGGTTATTGAGTAGAATCACCTTTAACCCGTGGTACGTACCGGGGCCACAAATTATAAATAGGGCCTCAGTACATGTCTATGGGAAGGATTTAATATTATTGGGGCCAATGATAATTCGTCATAGGGATTGATTAGCATCATAATCAAGTTTGGTTCGGTCTAGTTTTATAAACTCATGAATGGAATGTGCTTTAGAAATTAAGGATCGAATAGAATGGACTTTGTATTTTCAATTTGTGCTTAGTCATATCGCGTCCGGTCTGGCAGCAATCATATAAGACGGAATCGAGAGGCGCTACAATCAGCCTATCTCTCATGCATTTTAGCAATAAGAAAGCTAGAATAGTGAATCTTTGCCATTAGTAGCTTGCGTGATCATGAGTGCTTTCAATGTTCTTTGTAGGCTATATAGGGAAAATCGGCACCCCCCCTATATCGCTATTCGAGTGATATTTCAAGACCGAAATACAACTGTTAGAATTGGTGCAAGTATCGACAATATAGTATTTACTTTAATTACTATGTATTTTGACTACTACGTATACATATACCCACTATATGATCAAAAACCTACAGTGACAGAAACATGGGTAAAATAACTACCGCAGTCTTTGGCAATGTCGTACCATGGCCACTGCGGTAACACTACCGTATACTTCGTCAAAATACGGAGATAAAGCGGCATATTCTCACAATTCCGTACTGATGCGGTATCAGTTTTACCCCTATTTCTGATACTGTACATAAGTACATAGAAGACTATAATTAGTCTTTTCTCAATAAGCGGTCACATCATCACCCATCACTCGACTTGCAAGTCGCGATCGATCAGGGCCTATGTATGTACTCTATTATTCCCTAGTGGGCGTAGCTAGGGTCATTAGCGGGGTTTGTGGCATACCAATGCAAGCGCAGTGAACAGCTCACCCGGGTGGACACATAAAAATTAAACCCCTCCGCTAGATGCAGTAAGCTTTCCACGTGTACTCAATTTTTTGCGGTACCACCCAGTTGATTTTAGTTACAGTATATGCTTCTCTTGATTCATATATACCAAAATTAGAGTATGTGTATATATAGGCCCTGGTCATGGAGAAATAACTGTTATTGTTCAAAATATATATATATTCCCGGTGCTGGTGCGCTTGAATCGATTTCCGGCCGCCCCTTCGAATTCGTCCTTGTAAACGCCTGCTGACCATGAGTATAGGTTTCCAATAATAGTACTAGTTGTTACTGGGTGGTTATTACTGGGCGGATACAGTAATTCATGTCAGCCATTGTTTAATGGAGAGTCTTCCCTACATACTGTAGCCTAGGATACATATACATGACCCACGTAGATTGTGAAAAACAACAAGTTCAGTAGACTAAAACATGGTTCACAATTGATAAAAGTTGGTTTATAATTGACAATTTGTGGTTTACATTTGACAACACCGTTGCAAGTACTACTATTCAACTTCAATAACGTCATCATCGACCTAGCCGGCCTTAAGCCGCCATCACATACTTCCATCACCAACTCGAGCCATAGATATCATGGGTGGTTCTTTCTTTGGCCAATTGAGCTCTTGTAATTGTTGTTCGAGTCGACACTCCTGATACTTGGCAGGACTCGTGCCACTATTTTCAACAGCATAAACCTTTATCACTGCAACAACGGCAGTCTACCCCTGCGTATCTCTAACAGTTCTCGTCGGTGTATTGTTAGGCCGTCCAGCGAGAATAGCAGTCCTTGGCTAGCTCATATTTTGTTTCGGTATCTCCAGGTCCTAACCCGACAGTTCAGAGTTTCATCCTGGAGTTTTCTTGATCTCCTCCGCTGGTCAAGCGCGCGACTGTCCGTCCACCCCCACCCCCCCCCCTTCCCCCCCTCGACGAAAGAGCGCCTCACAGTTCTGTTTCTAACAGGGGACTGGAGCATGCAGATACCGAGCCGGCCGTTCAATTGTGGGGCAGTTGGTGGTAATCACTAGTGAGGTTGTTTGCAAAGGGTGTCGGAGCGTTTTGCAAACCACGACCAACCCAATTCGAAGGACAAAGAACACGTAGTTTAATAAGCGCTGATGCATTCGTCCGTAAAAAGGTTGATAATTTTGTGTCGATATTGCAAATCGTCACCGCGAATCACTCGGGCCGAACCCGTGGATTAACCATTTTCCGATGGCTGCTAGGCCGTTCCAGTCGTAGCTGATTGGTTGGCACAGACATCTTCACATGTTCCTGGCTTCCTGGCTGGTTGATCTGAAATTTCCGAACCCGCACCAAGTCGAACGATGTGTGCTGGAATGAGCTTAGTGCCTGCGGAGAATTGATAAGCTTCCCTTGCCTTAATCCCTTCCTCCCGACCGGAAAAATATGAAATTAGTAGGAAGTAACTCAGAATGATACGCTCGGGCGCAGAAAGCTGAATGTTATTAGTACTATAGTAACTAGAGGCTATTATTCATGGCTATTATTATTGAAATGGCTATTATGCCCTGTGTCAGTACTAAGGTAAGAGCGGACGTGAGGACTAACTAAGGCAATTTATTAGGTACGGTAGGTACAAGTATATAAGAGCTGGCTGCTATTATATCTAGGCCCCTTATAGCCTACGTGTCTCTGGGCTGGTATCTATCATTTTATTTTACTTAGATTAAGCAAGATCCAATGCACCTACTAACATGATGTCCCTAGTTGGGAGTTTGTAGGGGTTTGTCTACAAGTTATATGAAGAGATATATTACCTATATACTGCGGACCGTTATAGGGGGACCCCATTATCAGCGCCACGGAGCGCGCCACCCCCAACTGGAGAAAGAATGATAACAATAAGAAACGAATAGCGGGTGTCTTACTGTGTAATTAATTAAGCGAGAGCGGCAAGCAAGGCAAGTGCGTGAGTGGACCATGGGAATCCCTCAGTATCCACACCACCACCGTCCCATCAACCTGCAGCTGCCTCCGCCAGACACAGGAAACCTCTCTCCCCACTCACTTACTCTAAATCTACGCTTATGCGCGCTGTATCTTAGATGCATCTCCTGGTTCCCTCACCCCCCCCCCCCCTTCTTCCTCCTTCCCTCCCTCCCTCCTCCGGCTCGGTGATTGCAGCAGCACCTCGGTCAACAAACCATAAAGAGAACCCCAGGTAGGATCAACAGTCAATAGTGGGTGATCTGGATGCGAAATATTCACCCATGTCACTTTGCGGCTTGCGTCACCCCATCCAAAGAGATTGATTGGGCCAATGAACCTTGAAGCATTCATCATCACGCCAGTCAGCCAGCCCAGCAGTTCTAGAATTCGAAGCACCGATGTGTCTCAGATTTAAGGTATGGCATTTAGATTTTGAACATGCGGCGATCGCCGTTGACAGTGAGGGGAGGGGTGGTGGTGAAGGATTGATTGAAACGCTTTGGATTCTCCAGGTACTGGGATTCCTTTTGCTTAATGCCAGTTTCTGCTGCTAGCTTTAGTAGCTAACGGTAACGGGTCCTTTGCCGACTCCCGACATCCCGCGCATGTCCTGATCATTGATTGGTCTCTTTGGGTGACTTTAGCTAATAGTTACTCTACGGCTGTAGATATATACATCACACTCTGCTGATGGAGGTCATCTTTGATCACTCGTTAGAGGGATCATGGTGCGAAGTGACAAGGCAGGGAACATGCTACTAAGAAGAAAAGAGTACAGTACTACTACATACCACTACATGTATGTAGTACTGGGAATCTCTCATTTCCCGGGAACTTGGTCGTTCCCGGCTCCCCGCTCTCGGTCGCGTTCACCAGCCGGCTCCCACGCTGGTTCATTTGTAACGTGTCGGCGCCCTGTGCAGGCAGGTCTCCTAGTAGTACTGACGGATATGTGGTCATCCTATCCCGGCCGAGCGAGGGTTTCCAAGCACCACTCAAATGCCCCTTTTATTAAACTCCCGAACCACAACTAACCAGTTGGTCCACCCGTCTGACTGACGGGCCCCGGGAAAGGTAGTCTGACACTTGAGCATATTCACTTACTATACCACTTTACTTTTACTAATACTTTTGGATAGGTGTAACACTAGGCAGCAGCAGCAGCAGCAGTACTATTAATATTATGGATTACTCAAAAAATAAGAGACCGAACCAAGACAGATCACACTGGGTTCAGTTCACTTGCAAGTAACTAAGATATGGGATGGTATTACTGAAATCGGGCTATCCAAGTTCCGAAAAGTCCCCATTGCTTCGTGGGTAAATTTAGACCTGCCGCGCCAAGGTAGGGTTGTCTCCTAGCAACGGTGAGCGGTTATGATTACTCAATGAGGAGTTTTATTGAGGAAAAGGTCATGTACAACCAGAGCTGTAACATGTACCTGGGGGGTGGGTGTACTCTACTCTACTCTCACCACTCGTAGGTACTGACTGACTGACGACTGATTGACAGTCGTATGACTTTCCGTTTGATCTGATCTGACATCACACACCCGCTCCTTTCGATGAGCTTAATTTTTTGATTCAGCTGCACGTGGTATGGTGTCCTAAGGGGCCGTCTTGCGAATATTAAGCGAGCACTTACTTGGGTTGTGGGGCTCCACTGGACCAATTGATAGCCTGCGAGTGATATTCCGTGACCACACGCTTCTTCCTCCTGTGTGGGGGGATAAAAGAGTACAGCATTGGGGGAAAAGTTTCCCCAAAATAAAATTACGATAATATTTGATTTCCAAAACATCTTCTAGAGGAAGGGAAAAAAAAGGGGGGGTGGGTGGTTGACTTGAAAATCGTAAACTCGGAGAGTCGACAAAAATACGCTCAGTCAATAGCATTTCCAAGAAAAATCCGTCCGTATGTCGTACCATACCGGTACATGTTCATTCTCTGGGGTAGGGTAGGCGCAACCGCTAGACAAGGGTCTACCTGCATGGGACATGGATTTTCTAGAAAGAAAAAAAAAAAAAAAACACCTGTGGGTTTTCGGTGAGATATTAACCGCGGTCCAAAGAGCTTGTGAGTGGTTGATTTGTTAGGTGGCTTCTTCCTCTTCTTGATCTTGTCTTGTCTCCCCCCCCAATTCCCCCCACCCCCAGCGCAGTGCCTGCTTGGGTGCTCTATTCTAGGCTGAACTCTGGCACTGGTGTCTGAGTTTGGACCTGGAATGTTATGCCTAACACAGCTATTGATTGTTTGTTGTACCTGAACGGGCATGCATGTAAGTATCGGCCGGTATCTAGTTCTGTACCTACACGACATATCGGGATCTTGGCTTGTGTTTTATGATCTCGGTTGGGGAAGGGGCGGGGAGGGCAGAAACCTGTACCTCGTACTCGACGTGGGGAAATGGATTGTGAGACATGTATTTGTTTCGCTGACGACGTCGTCGTCTGTCGGTCAGATCAATGGGGCTAGGGTTGGGTTTCGACTCACGCATGCCAAGCGCTTCTGTCGCTTATCAGATCTTGGGCGTGGTTGTGGTGGGTGACCTTGTCAACGACGACGACCAAGCTGATCAACAGCCACAGCTCCCCCCAACGACATCCTACCTATTCGCCCTTGTCAAACTCCACAGTCCTCACAGTTCAACAGCTTCCCACAAACCCCCTTGATATTATCTCATATCACCTACCCGCCTAAGTAACAGTTATACCTGCTGCAGCTATGTCTGGCGGTCTCGAAAAGGCTCTCTTCAACTTGAAGGTACGGACCCCCCACCCCCCTCCAAAACACGCACCCCATCACCTATTGCCTATAACCCATCCCCCACCTCTCATCTCCCCTCCAATACAGACTCCCACCACCCCCCCCCCCCCCCCCCCCCCGCCCCCCCGCTGAGCACTGACCGTTCTTCTTTCCGTACAGTTCACAGCAAAACAGCTGAACCGACAAGCAATCAAAGCCGGCAAAGATGAGAACTCCGAGAAGGCAAAAATAAAGAAGGTGCGCAACCCGCTCGCCGCCGGCTCCCGGATAACCTCGGCCCTCGCGCCTCTGAATTATACCGAAAGGGCAATCATCTGAAGAAAAAGAAAGAAGAAAAAATAAAGAAATAAAGAAAATAAGAAAAATGAAACTGACGGACAACCCGCCGCTCGCGCAAAAACTTTCTGGGTTTTTAAACAGGCAATGCAACAAGGCAACAATGACATCGCAAAGGTCTACGCACAGAACGCCGTCCGCAAGCAGAACGAACGTCTAAACCTGCTCCGACTCGCCTCCCGTATCGATGCCGTCGCCAGCAGAGTTCAGACCGCCGTCACGATGCGCCAGGTCACGGGCAGCATGGCAAACGTCGTAAAGGGCATGGACAGCGCAATGAAGACCATGAATCTCGAGAAGATATCCCTGATTATGGATAAATTTGAAAACCAGTTTGAGGATTTGGAGGTCGCTACCGGATATTATGAGAACGCAACCTCCTCCGCTACGGCGGTGGCTACGCCGCAAGAGGATGTGGATCGCCTCATGGGACAGGTTGCGGATGAAGCTGGTCTGGAGCTTAATCAGGAATTTGCGGAGGCAACGCCTTCGCAACAAAAGATTGGACCGACCGAGCAGGAAGAGGATGGGTATGGTTACTCCTGTCTTGTAATATTCTCTGTGGGTGGAACTGACGGGAAGGTGTTACAGACTTGGCGAACGTCTAAGGGCTCTGAGGGGATAGACAATAGAGAGTGACCCGCTACAATGGTTGGTTACGCGTCTTGCTCCTTGATAGAGCTAGCTTTGGACACGATCCAGATGTTCAGGATCTTTATTTCTTTGTCTTCCTTTTACCCTTCCTTATTTCCCCACCAGTGGTTTCGGATGCAATGATTCTTGTTTTTTTGTTTTTTTTGTTTTTGCTTTTTTGCTTTTTATGTAGTCTATGACATACGAGGCGAGGTGCGAGGTGTGAGGTGCGTGGTATTGGGAGTATTAAATTTAGCAATCCTGAGCGAAGCTTAAAAAAGAATTTCAGGCATTACGATAAAACACTAGTGAATAATATATGAATCACATGGTACAGACAAGCGGTTGCGATAAGTACATGTAGGACAAGGCCTCCCCAGTCTAGAGCGCCATTTCATTCCCAGCATGAAAAAAACTATATACTTATTCAATACAGTTATTTTTTGTAAAAAAAAAAAAAAGGGTAGCAATTGAAAATGCCTGATCTATCTACTATTGAAATACAGTCCCATACCCCATATTCCCGATCCCGTTTCCCATTCCCCCATATTCCCATAGTTCCCATATGTCTTGACCAACCGTTGGAGTCATGTATAGCTACTAAGAAATACAATATTTCAGTGGCTTGCCTCGCTTATATAGCAGCATCCAAAAAAAAGAGAAAGAAAAGAAAAAAAGAGAGAGAAAAGTATGAGCAATACCCGACCTGCCCAGCCGCCGCATAAGGTATAGATTCAAACGTCTTCTCTTTCTCTCAAGAAAGGAAACGTCAGAGTCCAATGCTCCCGACAGGATATAAATGAGTATAGACAGGAAAGAAGACATGAAAAATCACTTGGCAGGGGTTGTCAAAACAAAAACGAGATGAGAAAATAAAAAAAATAAAAAGTTTATCCGTTGTCCCGACCAAGATGAAAAGAATAAAAAGATAAATGAAAACTAAATAGAAGGTGAGAGTAAAGGCAAACATCTGATGCCTCCCTTAATTTCCGGCTCTCTTTTGCCTGTTCATCCATGGGTATTGTATCGAACAACTAAAAATTACTCCAGGCTTGCTTGCATCTTTCTAAGGCTCGCGGTTTTGAGGAAAGTTAGGGGGATGTGATGATGAACGCTTGCGCTGGTGTCCGAACTCCCGGCCAAACATGGATATCATCTTGTCTGGTCGGTCTGAATCTTGCTCATGCTGAGGAGCACCGGGAGCGCCCGCCGACCCTATTGATCCTGTCCCTCTGTTAAGGTATGACGAACTAAATGTGGTCGCATCCGCAGGTGCACTCATTTGAGGAATCTGGAATTCTTGCGGTGGGGCAAGAGGTGCCGTCGCGAAGCCAGACATGGTTCCAGAGTGGGGTGTCAAGGGAGGTTGTGGGTATTTAAAGTCGGATAGGGTCAACGGTGGTGGGAAGCTTGGCGGTGGTCGTGCCTGATGCCCAGATGGTGGTGCTGGTGACGGATAAGGGTGAGTGTAAGGTCCTAGACAGGAAGGTTAGTTTGGTCAGATCTAAGATCGATCGCATCGCAGCAGCGGTCGAGACATAACGCTTATACATACCTTGTGGCGTGTGCACATATGGACTGTGAGGCGTTTCTGGAGGAACACTTCTTGGAGGTTCGTTGAAGGGTAATCCCTGTATTGAGTATGCGCTAGGGCTCAACTGGTATTCTCCGTGATCGATAGTATTTGCCGAATAGGGCGTACTAGATCTCAATGGAGAGCTAGCAGATTCTGACATCGAACGTGGGATGTCTTGAAGCTGTAAGCGGGGCACACTGGTGCGAAAGGGATCGGTAGGCCGGGAAAATGGGTTTCCACGTTGCTGGGGGCCAAGTGGAGCTGTCATGTACCCGAGATACGACGGACGCTCCCCAGTAGAAGAGACAGGGGACAGTAGTTCACCAGACGAAGTTGTGGGCGTAAAAGACAGCCCGGCAAAACCCGGCGTAGTCGGCGATACGACAACATCCTCTTCGCCAAGGTGTCGTCGTCGGAGGGGATCGGTCCGGCCATAGCCCATGTTTGTAGTTGGAGAATACTCTGTAGGCGAGGCAATCGGCGTCCCCATCATCCGACCTGAACCATATGTGTGCAATGTTTGGAGAATTGGGAACTCCTCTGGTAAAGCGCGCGACTTCATCATGCGCTCTCGGTCATCGCTACTCATTCGTTTCAGTTTGGCTCTCCTGAGACATGCATTAGTCACCAAATCTCGGTTGTACAAGCTTTAGACCAAGGAACAATCCTACCTGTTTTGAAACCAGACTTGTACTTGACGAGGGCTTAATCCAGGGATCTCCCTAGCCAATCGTTCCCGATGAGCTGCGTCAGGATGCGCTTGTCTGGCGAACTCACTCATGAGGAAGCGAGTTTGGTTATGTGTAAGACTTAATTTCCCCAGGTTTTGCGTCAGCCGGAATTGCGCACTTAGGGCGACTCAAAGCAGTCAAGATCAATTCTTACCGAAACCGTTTCATCTTTCTTTTTTCTTGTCGACGTTCGCTTAGAGACATATGATGTTCCCCTTGCGATCCGGAAGACTGACCAGTTATATCAACAGAATGTCTATGTTCTGAGTGTGAAGAAGGATGTGAATGTGGACTGTCAATCATAGAACCAGCTGAGGAATGGGGAGAGCCTATATGCTCTTCATGGGACGCCGAGGTAGGCCATTCCCTGTACTCTTCGGCTTCGGATACTGGTCCCGGACTGTAATGCTCATATACAGGTGGTAGTTGGTTGTGTGATTGATGGTGGTGGTGGTGTCCGTCTTGCTCTTGGTGTAGTACGGATGAAGTATCTCTCTCCAAGCGTTGCTCTCTCCAAGGCATGTGTCCAGAGGACTGATCTGCGCCGAACTCTGACATTTGATTAAAGCTGTGGTTTTTAGAGGTCGAAGGATTGCCCCAAACTTCTAATCCTCGATCTTCCCGGTATGGAGGGGTGTTTAGTAGTGAAGGCACTTTGACGAATCAAAAATAATGTGTCTATACAACCAACAAAATGTGGTTGCTGAGTGCTTTTTGGTAGATGTTGCTATAAGAGCGAAGATTGTGTACTACTGCCGTAGCAATAGTAGTGATAGTAGTAGTAGATCACTGAATAGTACTCGGGAAAAAGATGCAAATAAAATAAAGTCGATATAGCCCCAAATTTGCAGGCAAAAAGCAATTCGTATTATAGCTGTTCCTGCGTCTCGCCAAGTCTCTGTGATCAGGCCGTATTTTCGTGCTTCGTTTCGTTAATTCCGGGAATCCGGCGTGTGTAAGTGCGTGCGTGTTCAAGAATGGCGTCGAGCCTGGTGCAAAGAATTTTATTGACGTAATTGAGTTGAGATCTCCGAATAATTGTGAAAGGTGCAAAAATATTTGAAAGAAAAGAATGGGCAAGGTAGATCAACAATGGGCCCTGGGAGGACAGGTGAGCGAGGAGGAAGACTTGTGTGTGTGTGGCGCGGGCAAGGCACGGTATGTATAGTGACCGTTAAGCTGGACTGGACGACTAACTATGTAGCAGTACTACAGTCGGACAAGCTGCTTGTAGGGCGTGCAACGGAGTATGTAGGTAGTACCTAGAGACGCAAGAAAGAGTGACGAAGGACTGAGATCGGTGTAGCAACAAGGGGGATCAGTGTTGGTGATCTTTTTTGGGGCCAGACTGCTGGGGTAATTCGGGCAAGTAGACCGTCCACCGGCAAAAATGAGTGACAACGGTAAGTCTATATGGAGAAATGTTTGAATGAGGGAACGACCAGCGGGAGGCCAACAATAGCTTCACAGGTACTGATCCAGCAGCCGTGACCCAGCACAGAGAAGTTTAAGTAAAAAAAAAAAAAAGAGTGGTAGGGCAACAGTATGAGGATTGTTGCAGAGGACGAGCCAATAAGAAAGAATGAAAGAGAGAAGAGAAGAGAACGAAGAGTAGAGATGATAATTCTCAAACAGAGAAGCTGGGGGGTGGTGGTTGTCAAGGTATATTATATGTAGGTAATAGTAGTAGAGGAATTGGGATTACTTGAAAGTCAAAGCGGAGACAGAGATACGACCCACAAACGGTTGTCAGGGAATCTATCAAGCGAAGGAGGACAGAATGGAAGAATGAACGAAGGTGGACTAGCACAACCAGAGATGCGGAATAGGCGCACGGGCTGTCGACGAATTTCTGAATCTGCAGTTGACGAGGAGTAGAACGAGGGTGGAGCGTGGGCACGGGGCCTGGTTGTGTAGCCTTTGCATGAATATAGATGGTCCGGGTTTGAGAATAAGGCGGGGCCCACGTATGAGCAGGAGGAGGAGGGTGAAAGGGTGAAGGAGGAGGAGTGATAGTGGTAGTAGAAGTAGTAGTGGAAGTAGTAGCAGAAATACTTAGTGACAGTAGTAAGAAGATAAGGATCAAGACCAGGAGTAGGAAGCAGGAGATTCAGAAAAAATGTGGACTGCTCAGCCAACAGTGGGATTCAATAGTAGCAGCAATAGCAAAATAACCAGCAGAAGATCAAGATGAAGCAGTAGCTAACAGACAGCAGGCAATAAGTGACAGGGCAGATGAGTTGATACTCTACTGGGCGGATAGAGGAGCCACAACCAAGTGGGGACCGATTCAAGTTCCAGGAGTAGAAGTGTCGGAGGGGGGGGGGGTGGGTAGCCCAAAGCAGTCCTTGTGTTATGAGACGAGTTTTGGGTCCGGATTAGCTACCACTACTACGGCAGAAGTGATAGATATTGCAAAATGGGACTGGCGATGGTGGTGGAGTATATGCAGGTGAAGTCGCGGAAGCGACAACTGACTGTTCGTGAGGCTGCGGGGAACTGGTCTGGTCTGGTCTATCTGTCTGCACTCTTTCTTGCCTGAAATCTCTCTCGAGCTCATTTTTCTTTTCTCCCTTCTATCGGAGTACCCCCCCCCCCAAACCCCACCCCTCTGGCTTCTGTCTTCCTGAAGCGCAGGATCATGCAGAATTATTTTCGGCATTGAAATGGAAAAGAACAGAAGAAAAACGTCTTCTTGCAGATCAAGGACGAGAACCTGTCAAGGCTGGTGCACATGAAGCAGCAGCAGCAGTAGTTACTAGCAGCAAAAGTAGTAACAGCAGCTGACTGACCGGCTAGAGGAGGAGGACTACCATACTCGCATAGGGGAGAAAAGCAGCAGGAGCATTAAGCAAGAATTAGAACAATAGTAACAAGTACAGGTAAAACGGCCAAACACTAAGAAGCTAAGCAGCTACTACTATTCCCAGGACAGCCATGTGTACGGGTAAAGTGCAGACAGCAACAACAGCAATGCATATTACAACAGCAGTAAATAGTAGCAACAAGTATAATCAAACAAAAAATACCGTAAGGGCGGGGTGTGGGTTTGGGAATAGGATTGGAAGTGGAAAAGTGTACCGGGAGTTGTTTCAAGTTGAGTGTTGCGAGCGCTCGAGCATTCCTGTAAATATGTACCGGAGCATTTGCAACGAGGTTCCCGAAATCTCCTCTGGACCTGATTGCAGAGCTTAGAGACAGTAACAGTAGGGCCTGAGCAGGGCTCCAGGCTCGTCAGAGCAGCAATTGCAACGGCCGATGCGGATCATGGGTGGATTTGGGCATGGATGGGCGTATGTGATCCATCCATCATCACCCATCATGGCAGGGCATGCAGCCACGCTGCTGTTAGAAGCTGCGCGCTGCATCCTTGAACTAGTCTGTTTTGCTTTTTCGGTTCACACACCTTATCCGCCTAGTCGCTGCGGTAGCGGTGTCGTTGTGGCACATTTTCCTTTAGCCCGTCCCTGGGTCTCCCCCATATCTGATCCCGCCATCGACGAATCCAGCTCCCAACTGCACGCAAGCGAAATGTTCCTGTCCCTAACTAGCAGGCTAGCCCAGATATATTTCTACCGAAGGGTATGTAGAGTAGAGTAGGTATCTGATCCTCCTCCCGTTATTTTTTTCTCTCTGTTATTTATTTATTTATTTTTCCTTTTTGTTTTCCTTTTTCTTTCCCGGCGGATAGCTTCGCCATGCCCAGCCTTTTTCTCTGAGCTTTTTGTATTTGGTTTATTTTTCTCTTTTAAACAGCTAGGTAGTGAAACCTGGGGTGTCAAACACAGCACGTACGGCTCGTCCCGAAGTAATCGATTTGATAGATATGTAGTATGTACTCTAAAGTGCCAACCAAATCCTTTATTTGGTTAGCAGGCGGCCCTGTCAGAACTCTCACGCTGGTTGCAGCTTTGGCCGATGACTCGGCGATGGCACCGCGTGGCATCGGTTTGACAGGAAATTTGACGGATTGCGATATCCCAGCCTTGGTGGGGTGGAAAAACCGTTGCTCGGCGGGAAAACTGTTGAGCCTGTTTTCAACGTCTTCCGTGGGGTCCGAGGATAGAAGGCGGGGGGGATGAGAAGTTGAAGGAATTCCTCATGAGCAAACTCCGAGGGACGGGGCTGGACCTAGTTCGTTAGAGTTGGCCGACGCGTCTCTAGAATACCGATGAAGCACAAAAAAAAAAAAAAAAAAAAAAAAAGAGGGAGGGGTGGAGGAATAAAAAGATGAAAAGATAAACATCTCGCCTGTGGAAACCTGCGTCTCGTTAAATCACGAACAAAGGTACACACCCATCCATGTGCGGAGAATTGTTCGGTGAAATTGAGATCGACGGGATCTAGTGATGAACAATCCCGGGGCGAAGAACAAACAATGAGAGAAGATGAACGAAAAAAAGCTATAGAGAAAGGAATTATTATGTATGACAGCTGCATGTCTCGTGATGGATTCGCTATAATTCCCCGACGGTACCGTTTCCCTCCTTTCCCAAGCAACTTGCGTGTGTGAGCAGCAGCAGGAGCAAGCCAGCATGTGCGTGCATCAGGCACGGACCAGTCGGATCTTGGCTAACTACAGTTGTGAAGGAGGAGCCAAGAAAAAGGAAAGAGAGACAACATGCTGCAAGTATCATATCTACATGTTGCGTACTCTTGAGCACTTGGTTTTTAGAGTAACAAAATTGAGAGAAAAAAAAACCAAACCACATCGGAAAAAAGGAATGAATGTACATACACACGATATGCACGAATGACAAAATAGGATCACTAGGGGCTGGGGGTGTAATTTTCGGACGTTTTTGAACGACGTCCAACAAAGTTGCCCTTGCAGGTTTCCGGTGTGCCTAGCACCGACGTTTTCTCCAAGAGAAGGAGTGCAACGGTCAACCTGCAGTCTTTTGATAAGATGTAGAGTAAGAGATGCACACCACTGCACCCACTGCAGCAAACGGGCGAGCTGCGCGTCATCTAGCAGAAAGGCCAGGCTGTTTGCCACACTTTGTTTCTTGCAATTGCAAGGAACCCTGTCGAAACGAGATCGTTTTCC